CCACCTCTGCGGTCTTTCGACCGGAGAAGGCCCATTATTATCAATCAAGATAGGAAAGTGGTCACTACCACATAGATCTTCATTTACCCTCCATGTAAAATCCTGAAACAGGACCGAAGAGCAAATGGTGAGATCCAGGGAAGAAAAAGAAGCTGTGGCAGGATGTAGATAAGTAGGCGAGTCATCATTTAATAAACACAAATTATTAATGTTAATGAAGTCCGCTATTTGTTTACCTCTGTTGTTATCATCTGGACTACCCCAGAGGGAATGATGACCATTGAAATCTCCCGTAATTATAAACGGGAGAGGAAGTTGTGCAACAAGGTCATCAAGATCTCTGGGATTAAGATGTAAACTTGGTGGAAGATATACAGAGCAGAGTGTTATAGGAATATGCAAAGTCACCCTAACTGCAACTGCCTGTAAAGGCGAGTTGAGGGTGACTTGACTCTGAGGGATTTCTCCATTAAGAAAAATAGAAATACCCCCATGAGCTCTACCGTCACCAACTGCGTGATGATGGTGACCAACAAAATGTCTAAAAGACAAAGTGTCAGAATTCTTTAAGAAAGTTTCCTGTAAACAAATAGCTAAAGGATTGTATTTTTGAATTAATAATTGAACTTCATTAAAATTTGGTTTTAAACCACGACAATTCCATTGAATAATGGAATTTACCATTGTCAGGGAAATTTAATTTTTGGCGGCTTACCAACGGGGTCCATATGGACATCCGCTATGGTAATGTCGCCCATCGAAGCATCCCCATATTTATTAAAGAGAAGGATAGGGTTTTGTGAACCCTTTTTATCCCTCTCCCGCAACTTTAAAAATTTTTGTTGCTTCTTTGAAAGCACTGTTCTCTCCTCTGAGGATGAAGTACCCTTAAACTGCACCCCTGACCCAGTGGACCTGGGACCAACAGTATCAATTTGAGAAGTACACAATGGCGGCGCCCCCTTGCCATTTTTAATAGGAGTATTGGGAATAGTCCCAATAACTCCAGAAGGAGGCAAGGAGGATTCATCCTCATCGGGTATCAAAGCAGTGCTTTGAGTTGAGCTCTCAGATATATTAGAGGAACTCGAGGCCCCTTTAATATGCTCCGATGTAATATTTTTAGGTTTTTTCTCTTTACGCGGCCAGGTTATATCTGTCTGAACAGATATGGATCTAGTAGATGCTTTAACAACACTCGAAAAAGTTTTCCCTTGTGGTGCAGTGGGAAAGAGTGAAGAAAGCTCTACTTGCTTCTTAGCATCATAGTATGGAATTTTCCGTTCAGATATTACCTGTTGAATTCTTTTCTCTTTCTGCCATACTGGACATTCGCGAGAATAAGCAAAATGCTTACCCTTGCAATTTATACAGCAAAACTCAGCCTGACAGGCATTGCTCTCATGACCATCAAGGCCACAGCGAGCGCAGGTGTCTTTGCCTCTACAGACGGTTTTGCTGTGTCCAAATTTCTGGCACTTATAGCAGCGAAGAGGATTGGCTATGTAAGAATCAACAGGTATATTGAGATAACCTGCCTTGAGAGTCTTCGGAATGTCGGGATGATTAAAAGTGAGGATGTAGGTGCTTGTTGGAATCACCTTGTCTCCTCGACGTATACTTATTCGTTTAACGTGTTGTACACCTTGAGGAGAAAGGTATTCTACCATCTCATCCTCACTGCTGCCTTCAAGATCCCGACAGCGAATTACACCTCTACATGAATTTAAAGATCTATGGGGAGACACCTTGATAGGAATGTCTGCTAATGTTGATGATTTAAGCAACATGGTAGCATGTTGCTCTTTAGCGCATTCTATCAAGAGTGCTCCGTTCTTTAATTTCTTAATAGCTTTAGGCTCACCAGCTAAGCCAGCTATGCCCTTTGCTATCAAGAATGGTGAAACTTTCGATAAATCCTTAGAGGGACTCTCAATCAAGAGAAACCTCGGCCAAGATTTCAATACCTTACTTGAAATATTAAATATATTAGAAACGTCCTCTGAATTAGGACGTTTCTTGTTTTGATTTTTATTTATTGGGGTTGGGGGGATTGGGGAATCCATGGAGTATTATTTTTTATGTTTCACCCCTCGTCGTCCCCCAGGTTACTGCCCTGCCTACCAGGGGGAGGACTAGCACGGGTCACCAGTGCATGGCCTCAGGGCTCGAAGAGGGGTATACTCAAGCCAGAAGTAAAAAAAAATACTTTCCAACCTGATTGACCCAAGCCGCCGCTCTGTAGAATGTACTAAGGACACAAAGGTAAGTAGTATGCTGAGTGAATAAACAACAGAGCATTAAACTGGAAAGGGTACATTCTACAAAGCTAAAAACGACCAGAGCCGATTGATCAGAGTGGGCCACTCTGACCTCCCGTCTAGGTGAACCATGGGCCAAAGTAATGTGTTGCAGAGAAAGGGCTCGCAAGCCAAATCCCCACTCAATTACCAGGATTCCACTCTCCACCGACACGGGTCGCAACGCACGGCAAACACGTTGCCCCATTACAGGGATCCTTTTAGTCGCCTCTTACGACACGCAGGAAATACGAAGGGTATATTCTTATCACCCCCTACACCCCAGGGGGGCTCTTTCAAACAATTGTCACATTTGAACGGCTTATTATTTGAATGTTTGTTCATATGTCCTATAAATTGCTGTTTATTATTACAGCCTTTGTTACATATGGGACAAGTATATCGAAAGTTTCCATCATGACTTCTTTTATGATCAGCATACCCACTGTAAGTACGGAATGTTTTTCCACAATCACAAGAATATAACGTTTCACTTGGTGTCAATAAAGGGCGTCCATCTTGATATCCTTGTATTGCACTATGTTTAACTGAAATAAAATAACACATCACTTATTTTGTAATTTGACTGTTTGAAAGATCTAATGAATGATAAAAATAATTGACCTTCAATTAAAACAATAAAGGTGGAAAATAAAAGAGTTCAAAAGTCTAAGAGGGTGAAATACATGTAATTTTTGCAACATATAAGATTGCATTGCTTTAAGAATATCCTTTGGTTATTAATGGCCAGAAAAGTCCCAGTCAGACGTTTACCACAGGACAAAAAAATGGTTAAAGATACATTAGTTAAGAGCTAAATCTGCCTATTGCAAGTCCTTCTTTAGGCTTCAGATGTTATAGAAATTATTAATTAGACCTTTATTTACATGACAAGCTCAAAATCAAATCTGTAGACCCTCGGATGGCTTTATAACAGATTGGATTTAAAATTTAAACTGTCGTCCATTTAATAATTAAATCACCAAGCTAACATTTACAGTTAATCACTGACGTCACTCCCGGAGAATGTTGATGAAAACACGGATTAACGAGGGTACCGTAGCCATTGAGAATGTTATTTGATAATTGAGAATATGTGGGTGGAGTTATCGTCTGTCAGATACAGTGCCTATTTCTCGTCTAAACTTCCAACAAAGATAATGTCGTTCAGTAAAAAGTAATTTGACAAATTTTCACTATTTTCTTTTTTTATCCGCTTTTTTTTTTAAATTGTTATAGCAAGAATGGCCAACTCTTTATTAAACTCTTAACTAATGTATCTTTAATGATTATCATGCATTAGAAATCATGTGATTCTATCATTCTAATAAAAATACAGATTTAAATTCTGTTTCGTTTATGTATACTTCCGATAGAGGACACAATGTATACATGTACATGTATTGTCACGCTACGTGCCATGTAAATTAAATGAATTTTAAATACATGGTACCGATAGGATTTTCTGCACTGATTTTAGTAAATAGTTAATAACAGTCATGTGACAGCATGTTGCGTTTACATGTACATTCGACATGCACTATACATAGTGGGGTATGTATGTATATTGTTTTAATAGTGAAGTCATTGGCTTTCTTCATCACTATTTAATTAAAGTAAATATCCAATGCTTATTTCCCATTAAATCAATGCTCTAGCCATAATTGAAGTTGACCTGTCATATCTGAAACTGTATTCAGAATACATGAATGTGTCGATTAAACAATTCCAATACTAGTATATGTCATACACAAGAGAAACATGTTCTTCATTCTGCTTCTGATTCTGCCAAATCTCAGCAAATCACTCAATAAATAATGAAAAGTTAAAATTTATGCCAAGACGTGATCAAATTTGATATAAACTAAAACCTGTCCAGTTTTAATTTCATTCGACCTGAACTGCCAGAAGGGATCACCAGCTTTTGGCCGAAGGGTCAAAGCTATGTCAAACACTGCAGTTAACCCCACTCACTGTGACACATATAAAACTAACAATAACATATACTCTTATTTTAATGAAATACAACCAAATAGATTTATAAACCACTATAGTTGAGATCAATTTCTACACAATTCTCATACTTCAAATGTTCCACAGAATATCCATATAATAAATGTCAAATTTTGTTGTTGGTTATAACAAAATAATCAACTTTCTCAACATGTTCCAAATCATCATAATCATGTATGCTACACACAGGTAAAGAAATACAATACAGTGTTTTTTGCAAGCATATAATTATTCAGCTTACATTGAACATCAACTTGCATAATACTCCTCTCAAAGGTGAAATGTGAAATAATGAGAATTCAAAATGCATTGCAGTTGCAGCAAATTTATATAGTAAGCAAACTTCTACTGTTGTTTGGAACATCTAGTCTTATGTTGTACCAAATTGTGTTTTAAAGTGAAGGCTCGATCACAATTGTCACATTTAAATGGCTTATTATTTGAATGATTGTTTATGTGTCCTATAAATTGTTGTTTATTATTACAGCCTTTGTTACATATAGGACAAGTATAACGAAAGTTTCCATCATGACTTCTTTTATGATCAGCATATCCACTGTAGGTTCGAAACTTTCTTCCACAATCACAAAAATATAAGGTATCTGTTGCCGCAGTCATTGGTCGTCTACAAGTATCTTGATAGTCTTGTGTACTATAATGTTCAACTGAAATAGAACATTAATACTTGTACAATACTTGTTCAAACGTAAAGGAATAATTCATTAAACTAAACTGTACAGGTTCAGTGCCATTTAAAGACATATTTTCTTGAGAGTTGCAATCCAAATACGGCACATAACCATCAATTGGGTAATATATCCAAACTATCTGGTAAGATTTAGTTAAGAAACATTATATCTTTTGAAATGCTTCATGGGATAAATTTATCGATCAACAAATTGTAACTCAGTCACCATTTTGTATACTTGCAAGACGATTAATGAATGAGCTCTGATATTACCTACTATAAAAAGTAACTTGTGAGTAAAATATCAAAGTCCAACTCAGTGGTTTTAAATCTTTATTATATGTATTACCAACTCGTTTAATTTATTGTGGCATGCATAAGGGAGCCCATGTGGTTAGAAAGGCTGTAATAATTTTTTTGCCCAAGTGTATGCATGAATGCATGAATATTGACCAAAAAAAGCCTTTTTGAACCAAAAATTTATAATCAAAGTCCAAAAACATGTTATTTTTGTACTAAAAAACAAAATAAATGTGTCCCTCCACCACCTCCCTCCTACCCACCTTATTCTTATATTCAATTTGAGATAACAATTTAATTTTTGCCGGTTAATACATATAATATACTTTTAGATAAGAACATGATTAGGTTAGATGGGCCAACTACACTTGAGGGAACATATCTTGAACAAAACAAATCATAGAATAAAGAGCACAAAAAATTGACATAAAGCCTACAAAATACATTTGTTCCAATTGTAATTTTTGAAAATAAATAAACATGCCTTTTCAGTGGTAAAATACTTTAAAATTTTGCAAATAAAACTACATTACACAGAACTCTAAAATTAATTCTCAAATATCTTGACTTATTGTAAACTAATGAAGAGATATTTCACAATTTCTTGTAATCAGTTTTACCACATTGCACCCTTAAAAAATAAATTCAAAATACTGAACTAAAAGTAGGATCAGTACAATTAACTTTCAAGGTCACTGAACTTTTTATATACATGTACCAATACACACAACACAGAAAAGGAAAGTCCTTGATACAATGTGCCATAATACATTTATATTAAACTGAAATTATATGGAGTTTTTCTCACTTATCAATTTGTTTTGAATACCCCTTTCATTAATATAATACATGTGTATTTCCAGACAGTTGTTACTGTCAATACAGATGTGCTTAGTTTTCATAATAAAGTCTCTGCAGTATCATTTCATATTCCAAGTACATATTCAACTTCAAAGTGAAAATAAACAGATAAACTTAATGTCAACAAGGTCACACATACTGTAGTGATCAAGAATTTGTTTTTGCTGTGCATGTTTTGTCATGGCGTACCAAGTTGTGTTTAAAAGTAAATTCCTTCAAACATCTCTCACATTTAAATGGCTTATTATTTGAATGATTGTTCATATGTCCTATAAATTGCTGTTTATTATTACAGCCTTTACTACATATTGGACAAGTATAACGAAAGTTTCCATCATGACTTCTTTTATGATCAGCATATCCACTGTAGGTTCGAAACATTTTTCCACAATCACAATATATTTGAGTTTGCGATTTGTCCGCTTTTCTAGGAAACATCCTGCCAGAAGTAGTAATATTTCCCTCTGAAACAAAAGCATATAATCTCATGACAACTCAAGTCTAACCTTTTATAATCATATTAGAGCAGAGCCTTGAAAGACCTTTTTCACAGAATAAAAGCATCTACATTGTAATGTAATGATAATGGAAACTTTTGATGTATAATGCCCAACTAATATGCACAAATTGCTTTAAAAGTATAAATAAGGTACAAACATGAATTAAGCAGATATGAAAAGGTCAAAAGATGTTTAAGTTGTTTAGTCAAAACAAAGACAGAAAAAAAAAGAAGTATGTAACGTCCATATTATGACCACCAGCTTGTAAGTTCAGACCTTTTTCGTCTTATTTGAGTGTTTCAGGAATTTAAATGAAAAACTGACTAAAACAGCTAACAGACTAACACAAATGATGGATATATACGGATACAATTTCAACGAGTACCATCATGAATTCTATACTCTCAAATTAACACTAAATTAAAAAAAATCAAAACATAACTTCTCTCAACTTGCAAGATATAAAAAAAGAAAACATACAGTATATCCGTAAACAAACAGCAACAGTTTCCTTATAACATACCATACCGAATTGAATATTCAGTCCCAACAAAAAGAAGGGGCAGTCGACAATTGCTGCCATCTTTGCTGGTAAACTGAACTAAGAGTGCGATATATGTTATACAATAGTATTGTCAACACCAGGGGCAGATCTAGGAATTTTGAAAAGGGGGGGCGCCTCAAAATGAGGGCACTGACCGCGGAGACGGGTCCCCCAAGAAAATCATCCGTCATTTCTTGCATCTGTAGCCATTCCAAGAGCTATTTGGCTGAAATTTTCGTCTAAGTAAACGTTCGGAAATCGTTGAAAAAGAGCCTTAACCCTTAACCGGTCGATGTCATTTTGACGTTATTACGTCAAGTGGTCAGGCTAAAGAAAGGCTGACGTGAAATATTTTGTATGCCTATTTCAATCGACTACTGCCGAATAATTATAAGTGATAGACTCTTGACACCAATAAAAAAGTTGCTGGGGATAAGTTGATCTATAATTTGCAAATCATTCTAAATCCTTTTCATCAGAAATATCGTCTTCAGAATCAGTGTCATCGATATAATCCGATTCGGAATAATTCATAAGTATTTCAATCACTTCGAGCGTCTCTAACGTTCCCAACACCGTTAAATTAAGTTTTTCGTAAAAAAAAGTTGAACAAAGACATGGTTTTCTCAATGCCCTTGACAAGACAAGTTCCTGTCTGACACGCATGCATGGCCATATCAATTAAATACGAAACTAAATACTCAAATGCGGCTTATAAAAAAGGTTCTTGCTGTGCTCGACTTTAGTCGACCGTAACCACTTAGCTGTATAACGTTGTGGTGACTATAGTCGACAATGACCGGTTAAGGGTTAAAATCGAGCAGAAAAGCCAGTTGAACATGCGACTCGAAAATTGTCAAGGCGAGCGAGGCATTATGACGAATCTATTCCCTAGCCACTTCAATATTTAAGCCTTGTAACTTGTACTGTCCACACATGAAACAATGCTACATCAAGTTGCACTCATGTGCGTCGGTGATGGGCATGAGTGTATACGCCGCCTATTCCACAAGATGCTATCATTGATGTCTGTCTATAGTCACTCTATAGGATTAGAGTACCGTCAGCTAAACAACAAGAATTCGTTTGAAATTGGAACCATTAATTAGATCAGACTAGTGTGTTTGAGTCGATGGTTGGGATCCCTGCAATGGGTTGGGAACGGACATATTTGGGTATGAGAAAAGGCACTTTCAGCAGTAAAAAAGGGCACTGTCAAAAATTAGGGGGTGGGGGGGCGCCCCTCGCACCCCCAATTGGATCCACCTCTGAACACTTTCGATTGGGCACATTCCTGGTCGGAGGTTTGGAAATTTGTGTAGGACATGTCCTGAATATACGGGCAAAGTAGCATTCATGCTTCCATCTGTTCTCTGTATAAACTCACTTGATTTGATATTTTCCTAATCATTTAAAATATGTTATAACCACAAATCTTTCTCCTTTATATCTGCCTGTTTGTCGTACTGGCTTTCCTGTTGTTTTGTATGTGATACAGTCTTCTTGCACATACTATAATTATACATAAGATTGAGGGGAAGTCGGGTAAAATCATTTCTCTAGTGTTAAATCTTTCACGGATGCTTAGGAGTTATTTACTGAGAGTGCTTTCATCAATAAAGCCTTTTAATGATTTACTAACTTTTTATTAAATACACATTAATTTAAAAATAAATACTAGTAGTACATGTACTTGATTACAATTGTATGTTAGAGTCCACAGAGTTAACCCTGCCACTGAAATAAGCATATCATCAGTATCATTACAACTCACAGCGCCATTTGTCAAATAGGTTTTTTTTTCATATTTATCTGTACCAGTAAATAGTTAACCCAATGTGTTAAAGATGCATTATGTAAGGTTTAGATAAAGAGCTAGTCATTCTTGCTAAAATAGTCCAAAAATAAATAACACAAAATGAATATATTGAAAATTTCATTGAAATTACTTCATTCTGAGTGAAATTATCACTGTTTGAAGTTTTGATAAGATATGGCATACATTTAATGTTTATTATCGTAACAATGTTACTTGTTATTCGAGATTTAGCCACGCTTCACCATTTTTAAATTAAATCATTAAATGGCGATCATATTTCAATCCGTTAAAATCTCTGACATCCGATGTTCTAGATAGTTGATTATAGGCTTGGCATTGAAGCCAAAATAAAGATTTAGCTCTAACATAACGCATCTTTAACGTGTTACACTTGACTTATTATCATTTACATTAATATAAATACCTGATGCGATTCGGTAATACATATATATCAAAATATGAATGGGTAAATCACATACAAATGTCAGTTTGGAAAAGGCATTGATAAAGGGGGCATTAGAAATCACATAAATTTCAATTCATACTTTAATGTCACATAAATTTCTCACTTTATTATTGCTAATAAGAGATGTTTTTAGTTTGAATGTTGGCATCCAAACCAATTCTGTTTTTTATTCTATTGTTCTGAGATGTATTAGATACACTAGGAACAAGATCTATTTCTTTGAAATAATGTGAGGTTTAACATCCTTCTTTTCTGCACCAACTGGGCTAATGAAGAGAGGTATTTATTTATTTATTTAATCTTAAATTTTAAAATGCAATTTCTTTTTTGAAATAAAAAAACCCCTCTAGTTTACAATTTATGTATAACCTAAAAAGAAATTTAATATGTGATAAGGTCAAGAAAATAAACAGGTGTCTTTTGTCTCCTTGCTATCAGATGTTGTTTCACTATTACAAGATAAATTGTTAAACCATCCAAAATTTTGAAAGTAGAATTGTGACAGCTACATGTAGTCTCGAAGCAAATCAATATCATCTTTCTTGCCATCCAACTGGCAAATATATTTATCATTCATCCTTGATACATTGTACCATCATGTAATCCCAATTTCTAAATCGAATGCCTTCCCTTAATACTCAACTTCTTTGGGGATGGGGTTTAAGAACTGTGAAATAGGTAGTAGTGCTCAGTAAATATTACAGTCTTCTTTCTTATTACTTGCCTTTAAATCAATAATCAATCTTGGCAAGTTTTGTACTGGAATTTATTGGGCATGCTCAAGATTTTGGAGTGTTTTAAACAAAAGACATCATTAAAGGACTCTCAATTTTATTAGCATTAATAATTCACTAATGATTATAGGGCCCTATTCAGGTTGAAGAAAACTGTTAAAAACTCTGGAAAACATGTATGTAGAGAGTGCACAAATAAATGTTGACAGACAGAAAACAAGAATATACAATTAATTTAAAATACAAAACCATATAAATATTACTAACTACATTTAACAATACACATTATACATGTACATTGAAAAATCCAAACTACTAGTTTGCAGAAGAAACGTTTGTTTTATCATTTTTTTTTCAAAAACAGATATCACTTCGGTGGAAGTGGACGTTAAATAAAGCTATTTCATACACACCACTACCAGAAGAAATTGTATTTCCTTCTTTTCTAGTCTAAATTCAAGGAGGATGCTTTAATATATAAAACTTTAAACACACTAATAATATATCCACATTCTGGTATGAAATATTGGTATAAATGAATTAAATAATGTTTCTGGCAGCGTGACATGGTATGAAATATTGGTATAAATGAATTAAATAATGTTTCTGACAGAGTGACATACATGTACGACGTACGTAGCAGATCATAACAAAATTTTTAAATGTGGTAAATACATGTTAATTAAGTTTCAAGGTATTTTCTGTGAAAGGTATTTTTAAAAATCTAAAAAAAAACTCTAACCTGTTGAGCGTGTTCCAAGAATTGTGAAAAAGTGGATTAAACCCAAAGGGGGATAACAATATACTTGAATATCCAAATTTGGCATCTATAATACTATAATAATAAACTTTTTATGCAGTAGTCGGCAGATAGGCCTACAACAAAAATCTGACTTTACAAGTGTTGTACGCGCATTACTGTTTTCTATTTTAATGCATCACTGCTCAAATTCACTTTATACTTTTATCAAGTCATACTTTATGACAAAAAACGTATTAGTTTATTAAATAATAAAAGAAACAGATGTAATGGTATTGTCAGTTGCACGTTTCTGCAATGATTGGCTTCCTAAATCATTCAAAAAGTTAAGTTTGGATTTTGCAATGAAATGAAAAGGTTAACAGTGATTAAAATTTCATTTAATACGATCTTTATGTTTATGTTCCATTTTCTAAAATTTTTACCAGATTGTAAGTGACTAAAAGAAAAATATATTACATGTACATTGTACTCCATTCTATATCATGATATCTGGTCTGCAAATTTGAATTTTAAATACATCTACGTATATACATTTTATTAGATGTCTGATAAGATGAAGAGAAGTTCCATCATTTTGATGGTATAAACAATGAATTTCTAATCACTGATAATTAGTGCATACCAGGTAGTTTTATTCTTTCAAACTTCCAAAACCCAAAAATTAAGATCTGTGTTAAAATAAAGACCAAAATCAATTTGGATCAAAGGTTGTAGCTGCTGCATTGAAACTAGTCTGATTTAACTACTTTATTTTGTGCACTCAGACAATAGACTTGTGAGCAGTCACTATAATTAAATCCAAGTAAGTTTCCACAAAACATCTGCAAAACTCTGACATGCAGAGCGATTACAAGTAAGTTGGATGAATGAATGGACAGAAGTACTAGTAACAACAATATATGACCTGATATGCGAGTATAAAATTATTGTTTGAAAGAATAAAATGACCTTGTGTACACTTGACTTACAGCACAGCCACATTCCACATGCCTCATGTTTTGTGCCTGATGGGTCAAAGAAAGACATCTGATCGCCCAAATTGTCAGAGAATTGTTGTTAGGTGAATTTCACGTAATTTAGAAAAGTGATGTATAAAGACTATATAGGAAATCATGCTCAGTTGACTATATATGTATGTCAATGATCCATCAAGCAAACATATTACTAGGGACATGAAGGTTAGAATTTGACCATTCTGTAACTATACAAGTGATAATAAACAAGTTATCTTACCTTGTGTTGACCCCTGAGACATGGACGGAGGTGATTGTACAAATGTTGAACCTCTTGGTGATCCTAAACTAGATGCTCCTGGAGAATGCCGTGGAGACTGATCAATACTTGATCGTATATTGAAATTTTGATTTGACTGAGAATAATTTGGAGAACTTGATAAAAGATTGATATCGCTGGGTGGTACATTAGAAGAGCTACCATATAACTGGCTCGAAGACTGATCTGTAAAATATAAGAAAAGGAGAAACATCAAAGAATGTCAAGATTTACACATGTACATTGTACATTGAGATGGTTGGATGGCTAAAAGAATTTGTTTTCTTTCATTTTATATTCTTTATTTAATATTTTACAAGGTTAAATTGTACTTTAAGCCCCAGCATGCAAGAAGGAAGGTTACATACATATACAACCCAAAGTACTAAGCTCCATTGTACTTTAAGCCCCGGCATGCCAGAGTATTTGATAGGAATGTCGTTCGGTAATAAGTTCATGTAGCAAACAACTTACTATTCATCTTGACATTGGTAATCAAATTTGGCATATTCGTGCACCATTGTAGAGAGCTTAATTGCCCACAACCATAAATCATTATTATTTTAAGGGCAATTCTGCTACACCTATATTTCAGCGTTATGTAATGTACATGTATGTGTAAGTGTTCATGTAGTAGCTTTTGGGTAGATACATGTTATGACATTAAATATTGTCACTTGACTTTAAAACAAAACAAAAATAAAAAACTTCTATTACACAGTCTAATCATTACCTGCTGCCATTTTATCTCTATCAAAGACACAACTACTTTCATTGTCTGTGTCTAACTGTGATATATATTCTTGTTTAATGGAGGTTAGATCAATTTTAATATCTGCCTTCGTATCTTGTGTTTCAGATTTATCAGTGGATGATGACAAAGAGGTAGATGGCATGTAAACATTATCACTTCTTTCAGCTGATGAACTTGGCTGATGCGATGCTGACGATGAATTAATTGCATTCATATCATATGATGGAATATCATCAAATGAAAGTCTAGGCATTTTAGGGATTGGGGCAGCATCTCTATGTCTTTGTGGAGATGACATTGGAAAGTTATCCCTCCTCATTGGAGATTGTCTATTAAATGCTAACTGATTTGTAGGACTTGTGTCGAAAGGGAACTTTCTTCTACGACCATCATTATTTCGTCTGTCGTCTATTATTAATTGCTGATTTCTGGCTTGCTCTGTTTGTAATTTGGCTAACTCTTCTTCAAGTTCTTTTTTTCTTTCGGCAACAGTTTTCTTAGGTGCTGCATGAAAGCTATTACTCACAAAGGTTGTAGAAGATTCTTCATTTTTGCAAACCTTCTCATTAACAACATAGTCAAACTTTGTGTCACTATCAACATTTAAATAAAGATGTCCTATCACTTCTACTTTATTCTTGAATTCAACACTACCATGACATAACACTTGCAGGTTCTTAACTAACGAATTAATAAAACGGATTGCTTCATCATCATTCATGTTGACCAAACTGAATCTATATTACAGCGGCTGGTAACTTTAGTTAAACCTCGTTCGGTAAGTACACCTGGAGTACTCATATACCTATAAAATGTTAACAAAAAAATAATTTTAATATAATATTTGATAAAGATTACACCATTAACCCATTCATAACATTCAGTATAAGAGTAGATCTATTTCAGAAAAGGACAGTACAGTATAAAGTGACATATTGAATATTAAAAAAATCAGTTGTTATTTTCTTAATTCTGTACAAACACAAATGTTGAAATATATTGCAAGGAAATGATTGTTCTTCATACATGTACATGTATGTAGGGCCTATTTCTAATTTTATTGTGTATTACATGCATGCCTTTCATTACCCCAAGACTCCTGTACACTACTCAACGTGAGAAATTATACCCAATAAATAGGACCTAGAATCAGACCCTTCCCTGTCTAAAGGGCTATGATGAAATAATAAAGAGATGGCTGTCCAGAGCCAGGCAATTAAATTCATTTTCGGTCCTGTGACATTTCAGAATGACAACCTTTCGGACTCCTTATGTTCTCGACGTTTCTGACTCTGAAAGATGACATTTTGGACTCAGGGTAGGTGACATTTCGGACTCGGGTATAAGTTAAAAGGAAAGGTTGAAAACAGCCGTTGAATGAGTATACAATAAGCCAAAAATGGTTTTATAAAGATAACATGCAGTGGATCACACACCATATAGACCCCTAAAGGAACGGCAATATTTCAATGTTGACTGTTTATGAAAATAATGTATTGTATAATAAGTGTTTCTTTGTACCGTATCTGTACTATTGTATATTTCACATAAAAGTAGCCGAGGAATTTATTTGAAATAGGCCTATTCAAAACACGAAAGAAAATATTAACATAAACCACGTGGTTAATAAAATAAAAAGGCTCTATCAAACGATAAAACATTAGTTGCACTTACGGTTCTTTGATAATCATCGTTTTCAGTAAAGGTAATATATACTTTTTTACAAAATGAATATATGCTGATGAATTGATTTGAAAATGACCTCAACACAACAGAAAATATTTACATGACATGCACATTTTTAACGATTATCCATAAGTTACACTTTGAAATGCTTTCCTTGACAAGCTTGAAATAGAAGGCAGCACCAATTGATAAATTAGTGGGTATGAAGAAACATCTTTTCAGAAAATATTAGAAATGGCATTGATCAAAGCGGGATAATAAAAGCCGATTAACCGATAATCCTGCTGTTATTGTAGTATGTGCAAAGAAATCTTACGGTTCTTTGGTGGATGAGGAAACATGTGAGTTGTCGATAATCTCGGTTGCGTATTGATTGCTGAGTGCAATTATTCCATTCCACATAAAAAACATTTATAGGCTTTAACAATTATAAAAACATCGGCAGTGATTGGTCAATCAAGCTTGTTTACTACTTGATAAAAGAAATTGAGTTCGAAACTGCGTTATTATGAAGTTAGAACAGCTGTTAAGTAAGTCTGAAAAATCGGCAGAGACACCGAACAGTCAATTGTGTGGAATTTGAATAGTCGCCAAAGTGTGGTGCTCAACTATTTTAAGTACGGTACGGTATTTACATGAAAGAATACAAATTAACTCGCTTTCGGCTACATTTTATACTGGATTCAGTAAATGGTGATTTAAATATTTTTAAAGTTTTTTTATACCCTTTCTGACATAATTTAGTGGATTAAATTATTTGAGTAAGAAGGTCTTTGTCAGTTTGTGTTAGTTAGCTTTTTGTGACAGCCAACGTTTACGTACACTCGACATAATAATGTTTTAATTTCTTTATTATTATTCATATAGAGCGAAGCTCTAAAGCATCGCACAAAGCGCTGTGCTTGAGCAAAGCTCTTTTCCGGTAACACAGGTGCTTAACTGAAATTGTCACTCACAGACTGTTGATTAAAAAAAAATTCAGACCGGAACTGGATACACTGGGCAAAACAGGCAATGCGCATGTCAACTTACCAAATGTTGCCCAAGCGAGATTACGCGCCTCATAGAACTATTTCTATGACGCGTCTAATCAATGACGTCACATATTTTTGACGTCAATGAAAATAATTCTCACACTTTTTTGTTCTTTTTTTTAAAAACAAAATTAATGTATACAATTTAGATCTAAATAATCAATTTGGAAAAACTAAATTATTTAACATTGTTTGTATCACTTGAGAAAATTAATTATGAAGGTTTTATATTTGACAATAATCAGCTTCGCTCTACTCAGGCAATGCCTGTTACATTTTAATCTGTCTTCGGCCATCATCTAAAACGAAAAAAAGATAAATTCTTAAGAGTCCCAAATGTCGTTTATATTGAGTCCCAAATGTCGTTTGTGTTGAGTCCCAAATGACGCCGCAATCAAGTCCCAAACGTCGTCAACTGAGTTCCAAATGTCGTTTATGTTGAGTTCCAAATGACGTGAATCCCAAATGACGTGATTACTGATACCCTCGACACACACTCAAGGGAGTCAAGCCGATTAGGCTATTAAATTTGTAAAATTTATTATTTGAACATAAAAATAGATTGATAAGAATAAACAGATTACTTCACAGAATCAATCCAAATTAGCTTACACCCCAAAACTTACTAAATTTATGTAAAAAGACATTAATTCTATACGAAAACAATACCCAATTCCTTGCTTTTCTTAGCTCATTATTTGGCGTTGTGTGCAGGTGCCCCGACAACGTCATTTCCGATGTAGGGAGTACTTATTTTGAAGTGAAATTTTAATTTATACGATTTTTGCGAAATGTGGCGTTTTCATTAGTATTGTAAATATTATTAACATCAAACATTTATTAACAATGAAGTACTATAATGTTACCTTATCTTATTTGGAAATGATCAGTGCGAAATTGTCACAACTGAAGAGAAATAAAATTTAAACAACCTCTCCTAGAAGCCGAACGCTTTGTTTATCGGGTAAAACTGGAGTGGAAGTCAATAAACGAGTAATTACCGTACCTTATTATTTCCTGTTCCATTTTCCAATTAATTTGGGTAAAATTTTGCTTTCATTTTACATTTTATTTACCATGTCAGAGGTCTACCTCCCAGTCCACACTGTGAATTGATCTACTGAATTTTACACGCACACCATTTACCATTCTATTCTACTCTCCACTACTCCAGGCCATCTGGTGTAACTGTAAACAAACCGGCCGATAGACTCTTGTTAGCATAGCCGTAGACATCATTTTCTGTTCGGGTATAAGATTTATCCTTTAAAAAGTACAGCTCAATTTCAGTTTTGAGCGCTGGATACAAAAAATTAAAATTTTGTACTCAATTATTAACATTAGTATCAGATGGCTGCCAAGGGCTTAGATACTGATAGTGATAGTGGTACTGTAACTAGTAGTGTAGACCAAATGTGAAATAAGAAACATCAAAAAATTAAATTTCCCATAGGGCCTAAAACCAAAGGAATTAGAAATATAGTTTCTAAGTAATATAATTTATGAATTTCAAGATCCCACGACAAGTTTTAAGCATCATGCAGGCTACATCACTTTTGCCCATGGGATGAACAGCCACACATATGACATAAGGCCATCCATTGAAATGTTAGTCGTTAGTGCCCTCTTCAGTAATCGTTATTTACCAGGAACGGATTTAGAACTCTGATAGTCATAGTATGCTACATTTTAAAGCTTATGCAGTTCTAATGCAGTTTTGTCAGGACAAGAAAAATCTAGTATTGCAGATTTAGAATTTTGAGAAGATGTTCCATAAATTCTGTGTGATTTCTAAACTGTTCCAGATTACATATTTCTTGAGACTTGGGGGAATTCTTGTGCGAATAGGCAAGTCTGAATTATTGCTGTATCGTTATCGTTTTTGATATCTATTTTATTTGCAAACTTTTGCTCATTCAAACTTTGAACCCTTTGGAATGGCGTCACTTGGACACATGACTTTTAAAAAATATTTCCGTAACTTTTATCAAACTGATAATGAATAAAGATTGACATTGAAAAGTCAAAGAAGAGATTATAATTTCATAGAGAAGCCGGGATGAGACCCATTTTAATTCCCCCCTATGTGATTCATTCTGCTATCTCTTGATATTTTGCTACGAGAAGCTAAATGTATCGGAAGAATTAAACTACAATTCAATATAGATAAACAATTTTAAAATTGTGGCACTTATTCATTAAATTGTTTATGTTTCTATATAAAATAAAATCTGAACATTACATCCAAATTGTATAGCTTATAGTGTGTCATTGCTGTAATGTTCCATTTCAGGTAGGACTTGGAGGCAAATCAGAAAATGAATAATAAATCAGCTGTCGAATTTATCAATTCAGTGGTGAGAAATCTACAAGTGTTGTGTCACAGTAATGTAGATTTCAGTGAAGATGTTGAAGTTATTGGACATATTTATCTCAGTGTTGATAAATCTAAAAAGTTTAATTATATTCTCAATGAAAAAGTGTGTAAGAGTGACAATTCATCAACAGTCTTTGTTAGTAACAGTTTCCATGCAGATCAGAATGAAAAAACAGATTCTGATTCAGCTAAACAAAGTAATAAAGCAAAACCTAGCCCTAGTACGGGCCCTTCCACAGATGAAAGATTGCGTTTTCCAATTCCCCCCAAACAAAATATTCCATCAAAACGCTTACCCACAAGTGAAATTAGACAGACTCCATTGATAGGTGACAAAAATATATTTCAAGACAACCGGTTTAAACTAAGTGATAAAGCACGACATTTACAGAGAGACAATTCACACAATAAATATGATGAACCATTCAAAAAGTTTAGGAAAATTGAGGAAAATTCTTCAGAAACATTTGATGTTGTCAAGCAAGAATCCTTCACAGCAGAACCAGTGTTTTTACAACCATCGACTTCAACAAAAGATTTAAGTGAATTTAGTAGACAAAGTTTTCATACAGATCAAAGCTCAATAACTAGTCAAAGTATAAGAGAAAGCAGTGATTATAATGAGTTTGACAATTCTCCTAATCAAATTGATTTAACTAATATTAAAGAAGAACCAATCGATGTGTTTCATGAGAATAGTAGAGGCCTGAATAATATCCTGCATCAAGGTACAGCTTCGTTCTAATTAAAAATTGAAGTAAATTAATATTGCAAAACCCCTATGTGTAATTAACTAGTCATATAGGCCTGCCATCAAGTGATCCTTAGAACGGATTTTAAATACTGATATTGAACAATTATTTTTAAAAGAAACCGTGGATTGAAAATACTCCAAATCGGATTGTTGATTGTTAATATTGGTGCATCTATGTACAGATAGTCTTCTTTCTTTCTGTTTTCAGTTGAAATGCAGCAAAATCAGTTTTCAGAAAGTCATAACACTAGCATGGAGAATCTGCAACAGTTATCAAACAGCGTAACAACTTATGGGGATGTATCTCCAACAACAGCTCATCAGCAACAACAAATATTATCCCGTAAGTATGAAATATTATTTCTCTCTTGTGTTTCCTACCTTTTGAACATGTTGGCTGTGTAATCAAGTACATACATGTATTACCAGATTTTCAAATTATTACAGTGTACTAGTTTGCATTATTTAAAAAAACAAAATACCCCAAATTAACATGTTAGCAGAAACTTGGACAGCCAGCATGTTAGCATAAATTCTCTGCATTATACGTATCTCATGTACTCACCATCGGCAAATCATCAACTTCAGCAGTTACAATCTATTGACATTCTAATAAACACCAAAACCCACTCTTTGTAATTTGACAGTCTATTACAATATTTAGTGTTTATTAAAACCCTGTTTACATCTCATTAGCATAATTAAGATTCTGAGCTAAGGTTGGAGCATGAGGTATGTAGATACATGTAACAGGTAGAGTATATAAAACAGTGAAACTTGTCCACATTAATATTAGATAGCCATAGCCCATTGATCTATTCCATGTTCTTAATGAAGCAGCAAAATGAAGTAGAAATCGGATAATTCAATTTGTGAAATGGTCATTTTTTCACACCACTTTGATTTTGTTAGGTTGCAATGTAATCAGGAGATCTGGAAAAGAGTTAAGGAATAAGCACAATCCTAAGCGATTCATAAACTGATCTTACAATATTATATTGATACGTCCAAGGAACCAAATCATTCTTTAGTGTTTACAATTAGTCTTATTAAAGTGACATTTTACGAAAAGAACCATTTTAAATTTAATACATGTAGTCTATGTACACATATGAATGACTTACCAGTATGTAAAAATTCATTGCAAGGTTTGCAATATAGCATGTTTTAAGGATCCATGCAACAGTGGTTGTATGAATTTTATTTGACTGTAATCCATGCATGTCATAGTCGTTTTAAAAAAGGATGGAGTAAATTAATGTATTGTGGTCAAAATATCATTGTTTGAATAAAGCATTATAGTGACTCACTCCTATTTTGTTGAAGAATTGACTTTTTAGTTTTCCTGGTATATTGGGTCTGGAAACCCTATATAGATGTACCAAAAAAACACAATAGTTAATTCTTCAATGAACTATAGGAATGAGTCACTGTCACTATTTATTTGTACATGAAACTTTGAATTTACATTTTTTCCCATTAAAATAGGCATTGGCATATTGAGTTTATTGCCTATTAAACTCCAATCTCTATGTTATTTTATTGTCATTGAGTACATATATAAGAAAGATCAGCCATGCTGTAACTATAACAAAATGAGTCAATGTACAAATGTATTGGTTCAAAGTTCATCCTCCCGAATATCACAGAGGTATTTAAATGGTACATTTTTTTCCACAAATACATGTATGAATTAAAAGATAGAGGATAAGTGACATTATTCTACAGTAGTTTATTGCCTAAACAAGGACTTTGTGGGAGGAGAAGACTCAAGCTTAAAGATACTTTCCCAAAAAAGTATTTATTGGGTGGTTATTTTCAATAAAAGTATGACAAATTTGGTATATATGGAAAGTATAGACACCCAATCTTACTAGAAAAATACTGGATTACGCTAAAATCGCCCATGGGGCAAGCACTGGGCAAAATTGTCAGGGTATCACTAACTGGCAACCCGACTGTTATCTGCCAGCTTATTGTGTGCCAGCTTAAATGAGGGAGCGATTGTTATTTCTTGATCAATGATTAGGCGGTTTTGGGAACATTGAGGGGTGTCAACGTACAAAAAACTCTGCAATTAAACGACAGAAAAAGAAGTTGACAGAAATAATTAAGAATTTACTTAGGCCTCAATATGTATGGTAAATGTACAGTAAGTAATGATAAATATATTCTGAAAAATGGACCCTCCCACAATGAAGCTAAGTTGACAGACATTGCGTCTAACAACAGCTTACTTATAGTTAAAGGTATCCCCTGCGAATACAAAGTTTTGAGAGTGAATTGAAGCAAATTTTTGATAGATTGGTTACTTTGAATATGTTTTTAGTCCAAATATATAATCAAATCACAAAATTTGTACACGGAAGTGTATCTTTAAACGAAAAGTCCCAGTTCTCATGAAGTTGGTATAAGCATACTGATCAAGTGTCAAAATATGAAAATATAGCGTACGTCAGAAAGTTTGAGTTCATAATGTTGAGTTTTTTGGAAGTGAACACCGAAAAGTCTATCACTATACGTACAATTTATATACACATAACTTTATCAGAGTGCTCCTCTCTAATATTTCATTGTGTCACATGATTTACATACTGTTTGGAAACTTTGCTAAGAGGAATTTAAAATGCAGCAATAACCTGCAGTTGTATTATCGCTGGAAAGCAATAAAAAATGAAAGTGTAGTGGGAATCTGTCACTGTGCACGGGTGACTGCTAGTGAAGAAACTTGTCTCCCAACTACACCTGAAAACTGGATTTGGGCCTTTCTTTGAAAATGAATCACAGGGCTTAGTTGTTTAGAAATACTGTACATGTACATGTATATCTGGGTCATGTCTGTGTTTATGGAAGATTGTGTTGAATGTTGAAAGAATCTGAATTCATACTTTTGACTTTGTTGGCAGTTGAGTAATTTTATCTTGTTCTGTAAACATGTACTAAAATAAGTTTAGAGTCATTCATATAGAAAATGAATTGAAGAGCTCTTATCCAAAACACGATTAATACAATTCCACCTTTCCTTTTTGTTAAAACCTTTTTTATATTCCAAGGGCCAGTTTCTCGAAATCTTAACTAAAAATAAAATCCAAATTGTAGGACATACTTCAGTTTTGATTGGCTAAGCACTAAAATCAATCAAATATTACTGTATCCAATCAAATTACTAAAATTTGGATTTTATCTTAGTTAAAATTTAGTGAAACAGGCCCCTGACTTCTAACTCACATAATATTCAATATGTACATTCATAATACAAAAATTGATAGCCCATATTGTTATTCAAATGGCCAAATTGTGGTTGACAGCTTGTAATAATTCATTTCAATTATTTATTGTGGGCTTCTTATGCCATTTGTGTCTGTAATTTTATTTTTCTGGTCATTTGACTATACATTGTACTTTCAGATGAGATAAGTTATGGTTCGAACATATCTCCTAATTATGCTTGAAGGAACCTACCACTGTGTCTTTAAATAGTATTTAGTTGTGAAAGAACAAATGATATATTGTGTATAAAATCATTGATATAATTTCTTCACTTTGAGTCTTTGACCAGGTATACCTCCTCAAATATACTGTAAAATATATAATTGACTGAATGCGACTATTTAATTAAGAGTAGTATGACAAACTATGGCTTGTTTTTATAAATAGCTTGTTGATTAGTACATACTGGTATTTTTTTTAGTGATGTGTATTTTATTGTATGGTTTGTCACAGAAGTATTACCGGTATATAAAAAGTGATTTCATAGACATGTAAACATTTGAGAGTTTTGCAGATATCATCTAGTGACGTGTCGATAAGGCTTTGGTTTTTATTTTATTATATGCCTCAGATGTGTTACATTATCAGTGAGAAGTATATGCAGGTGTATATATTAGATCAATAGTAGAAATCAATACATCTAAAACTTAGATCTAAAACTTACTGTAGATTTTGCAGATAACTTTGTTTCTGTACTTCAAAACTGTGAACTTATAACCTTTTGGGGGCAAATTTAACATCATTCAGTTGTATTTTAGACTGCAGCCATTTCAAAATACAACTTTAAAATTTTTGGCATCAGTCTTCTCAACTACTAGTAATTCACTACCTAAAATTATGGCACTTCTCATTTATTTTGCTGTTGACTGTCGTAACTCTCAGAAGATTTAAATAAGTACTTAGGCTCTTCCCTTTCATCTCGTTTCAGTGTTTCAAGGCAAGAGACGTCCAAATTCGTCGTACAAAACACTGTCTCTAGCTGATAAAGTTAAATTGATAACAGCAGCAGAGTCAAATGAAAATTTATCGCAGATGAAAATATCTAAAATGTTTGGAATAAGCCAAAAGTCAGTGTGTAATATTCTCAAATTAAAAGACAAATATATTGAAGAATGGAATGCTTTGTCTAACGATGGACCAGAAGTGGAAATTATTGATCAGCCTTAGTTTCTGGTTCTTACGTTCTGATAAGTTGTATATTATTTGTTGACCTCTTGTTCGTCCAATCTTAAAGGTTATCAGTGTACCATTTTTCTTTCAGTGCTATGTCGAAGTCGACCTCATAATGTTTTACCATTGGAGGATAAAGTTAATTTAATAAGACAATCTGAAAAACCTGAAAAACCAACCCAACATGAGCTGGCCAAAATGTTTGGTATTAGTCAGAAATCTGTGTGTAATATTTTAAAAATGAAAATGAAATATGTTCAAGAATGGAATTCTAAGTTTAACAATGGATCCAATATAGGAATGTGAAATAATCAATATTAGTTTCCTATTAACAACTATTCTTGTGTTCACAATCACATACATTTTTTTAATGCATTGTTTTTACGGGCATATAATATTGTTCCTTAAATGACATAATATTATGTTCACAATTGCCAAATAAGTAGGCCTGCATTAAATTTTGAAACCATTCTCAGAATTTTCTGAGATATTAAGCTTTGACTGTCAAGTGCCCTTTTGAAAGAAATGTCTTGAATTTCATGCTGGCAAATTATAATCATATTTAAATTTCAGTTGATTTGTGAAATAATCTTACAATTTACACAAAACATTTTAATGTTGTATCCCAAATGGATTATTTGTAATACACTGCTAATACCATGAACTATTTCTCAAGGTGAAAACAACTGGGAAGTTTGGTAGATTCAGTATATACTAGAATGTGACAATTTTGATTGTAATGAAAAAATTGTGAATCTGACAGCTAATTTTAACTGTCTGTACATATACAACCATATCTGAATTTGTGTGTCATTTAAAGTCCTTTCCAGACAACTCTGAAAAAATGAAGGATACCTGACAAATATCTGAAACTATTAAATTTGTACCTTGTAGTTTGAACTATATGCTGACATGTATTAAAGAAATAAAACATAGGAAAAAGACATATATTTGAGACTTGTGTGTGAAATTATGCCATTTATTAATTTTATCTGAATGAGAGAAGGGTCCTGGTTTCTAATTTCACATTGTTGCTTACAAAAATGATATTATGTCTCATTTCGTTACCTTTGAATTGTTATTGCACGATTATTGGAAACATGATTGGATAGATGTATGCATCTGTATATCGTTATAAAGATTTCCGCACATAATATATCTGTTACTTGTCCTGTCTATGGCTTGCTCTGTGATTTATATTTCGTTAGACCTGGTCTGAAGATACAGAACATATTTGATTTCCTTTAATTTCTGTCAGGCTGGTTAATCCCTGTGCTGTTTTCTCTCCAATATTGATACATCTACATGTACATGTAGGTTCTTGTGTAAATATTAATATATATAGAAAATAAATTTTTAGCAATGTGAACTTTTTAAATAAAGGAAATGTGGCTTTATAGCTATTCTAAAAGGATTAAATATACCCCACCTCAGGAACAACACTCATCACTAGATTATTTATGTTTCACTTGCTAGTTGCATTTGTCTTTTATATATCATAATATCTAAATGAACTTAATAGAAGTAGGCTGTTGTGTTAAAGATGCTGACCTACTTAAATTAAGTATGTGTGAAAGAAAAAAACATGCATAACTAGGTGATGGATTTTGGATCCAAATAGGACAAACTCTTCTGCTTCAATTCATACATGTATGTAATTTTGTCAATTAGGAATAATTTACATTATCATTTGTAAAACTAGAATATTGTTTCCTTGGGCATAATATTAGTTTTACATGTTAATGTACCAGTCAGTCCAAGTAAATAAATATGAAGTACACTAAAATCTTGATCATGATGAGATATGATAATCCAGCATTAGCATGATTTTCAAGGCATATGATGATACTTTTAACTAGAGAATAGCTATGTTGACATTCACAATTACATATCCTCATAGCACACTGTGTGGCGTATGCCCGTCTTCATTAGCCCAGGTTAGGAGCAGAACAGTAGGACGTTAAACTCCATTTCATTTCATTTCATAAGCAAAAATTTGCACCCAGTGTATGCTTGGCCATTTGCACACATTTGCACATATACAAAAGTAAATTTATACATTATGTAATTTACTCCTATAGTGTAGATATAGCTTCACAATTCTTGTGTGCACAGGCACTTTTAACATGGTACAATTTACCTACAGTTGGTTTATTCTGTTGTTGATGACAACCAATACAATGGTATTTACCAAAAAAGGTTTTCAGATTGCCTTAGCTTTGGAAGACGGGTCATCCTGGAGTTTAAGGCACAAATAACATTTCAAAAGTCTGGCTTCTCATTAGAAAGTTCTCAATCTGCTGATCATCACCCTACCAGTCTTTTGATTTTTGTAGTGCTTACCACACCCAAAGTCAACAACCTCATAATATGAAAATGTCCTTCTTCTTAACCTCCCAAACAAATACAATTTGAATGAACTTCAACTATCAAATGCATTGACTGCTAAAGTTTTGCAAAAACAAGTGAATGCATCTCAAGTATATTGTTACATACCGGGTATAAATGTACACCTATCCAGCCTATCTTTGTATGAAACTTAGTTTTGGTATTATGTTTTTCTTTCAGTGCTATCATGTAGAAGTCGACCTCGCAATGTTTTACCATTAGAAGAGAAAGTTAAATTGATTAGGCAATCTGAATCTCATGAAAAACCAACCCAACATGAGCTGGCCAAAATGTTTGGGATTCACTACAAATCAGTATATAACATAGTTAAACTGAAAGAAAAATATTTGAAAGAATGGAATGACTTGTCTCATGCTACAAATCAGAAATAAGAATCATGGTCCAGTTGAAACAAAAACGGGTCTCTTAAATGCATGAAGTTGAAAAAAAAAGAAGTTATTTTTTAATAATTTTCATAATGTATAGGATGTGTAAACTGTAAATCATAAAATAGTTTTATAAAATTTACATCGTGTAAATGCCAAATGGAACTTAAAAATTCTTCAAATAATCTTTTCATATAAAATTGAAATGTGTGACGTCTCATTGTGACTCTTTAAGCAAAAAAATCCTTACAGTGTATACTGTAATTAAATTTTGACCCAATTTGTTTACCATATATTTAAGCTTATTTTGCTCCTATATTCAACCTATATAATATGGACTGTTATGAGTAATACCAATACCAGTACTGCAATCTTTTAAGTGATATAAATGCCACCTTTTTTAAAGTACACCAGACAACAAGTATTGTCTCTGTTTAAATAATATTTGTATAAAACTTATTTAGTTTTCGTATTATGTTTTCCTTTCAGTTTTATGTCACAGTCGTCGTCATAATGTTTTACCATTAGAAGAGAAAGTTAAATTGATTAGGCAATCCGAATCCCATGAAAAACCAACCCAACTTGAACTATCCAGAACATTTGGAATTAGCCTTAAGTCAGTGTATAATATCCTTAAAATGAAAGAAAAACATATGAAAGAATGGAATTCTGTACCTCATCAGTAAATTTACATTCTTTTCTGATCTTTGTGAGAAACTCAGTTTTGGTGTACATTTTTCTTTCAGTGTTTACTCGAAGTCGGCCTCATATTGTTTTACCATTGGAAGAAAAGATTAGATTGATTAGACAATCTGAGATAGTTATGGGTAGTAATAAACCTACCCAAAATGAACTGGGCAAAATGTTTGGTATTAGTCAGCGAAGTGTTTGTAATATATTAAAACTAAAAGATAAATATTTAGCAGAATGGTCGTCATTAGATTTGTCTTCATCGCTTGACAAAGACAAATCTTGTAATACACAAGAACTAGAGGGAAATTATAAAAAGTAGTATTTTGTTTACATCAACAGTATTTACATTTTAAAAACATTAGAAACTGTCTTCAGTAATTACATGTACAAGGTATTAAATATTCTTGAACTAAGATGGTTCTGTATAATTTTATTTTCTGAATTATCAATACAGTATACATATTTTTGTACTTTTTGTTGATTTCAATTGAATTGTATTTTCTGGAGGAAGAATGTGGTATTGTGCCATAATGTTATCTGTTTTGAACTGTTATTGTATTTAAGTGATAGTATAGTGTCGTATTTTGGAAATATTGGTGAAATCTTATCTATACCAACTCCCATTGTATAATTGTAAATAAATGACTTAAGCCATCTTAGATAATTTTGTTTTATTTTTCATGTAAATTGAACGATTGCTATTTAATGAAAAATAATATGTCTGCCCAACATTTTGGGATTTGTCTAATTTCCAGAATAACATATTGCCAGCTGTTGATCCTCAAAAGATCCTTGGAGTGAGAAGTTAACCTCATTCTTCTCACGACCGCTATTGGGATTGGGTGGCTGAATGGTTTATTGGTTTAGTGGCTTGGTTTTCAATCCCACTCTTACCCTCCCCCAGCTAAAGACGTCTGCGCGGAATCAAATTATTGAAATAAAATTGTACCATATGTTAGTCTCAAATTAACCTAGTTTGTGTTGAGGGGACATTAAACCCAATTTCTCTCCCAACCAGTATACATTATTTGTATACAATAAAGAAATCTCTGAGCAGTCATGGTTTTGGTTGTTAAACTTGCTGAGTATGAATGATTAAATCGTATGAAATTGAATTTTTAAAACAGGATAAAGTTGATTACATAATCATATCTTGAATTTTTGCATCATTTCATCAGAATTTAAACTACAGCTATTTCTTTCATCATTTCTATTGCAGTGTTTTCCTCAAAGAGACGAGCATACCGAAGTTTGTCGTTAGAAGATAAAGTCAAATTAATCCACGAATCAGAAAGTAGTTCTAGGCCATCACAAACTAAACTTGCAGAAATGTTTGGAACAAGCCAGATGACTGTTAGCAATATTTTAAAATGTAAAAACAAATTTCTCCATGAATGGAAGAATATGAACATAGACCCAAGTAGTGTTGATGTGTGAATAGTATAATGTTGATAGAAAAATTATTGCTGATAATTCTTTAATTTGAAATATTAGTTAGGGTATTAACAATTTCAGGCAATATTACAGACACCGGTATTTAGTGAGGTCTGAATAAATCCCTTCAAAATGTTATCGGGTCCTCCTCCTTGATTCTATGTTCTATGAAAGAAAGACATTTTAAATATGTAAAAACAGATAAAATTAACTTTTTATTCAAATTAAATATAAATCAGTCACTTAAATAAAGTTTGGTGCCTCAATGAGATCTTATGTTTTACATTAACCAAGAGCAATTATTTTTTAATACTGATTAAAGCCAAATTAGTAAGTTGCTTTTGTAACATGGAAGACTTTAGCTTTGAAATGACCTTTCACGCTTTAGAAATCCGATGGTATGCCTGATCCTGTTGACAATCCTGTCAAAACCAATCTAATTAAAACAGGATCCTATTTCGTTTTGTTTTTCATAGTTCAAAATTTCGTTTTACTTGTCTTTACTACACTAGGATCTTGAAGAGTTGTGATATTACTGGCATTTTGGTTGAAGTGAGGGATGAAACAACGAAACAGTCTGTTACGGCGACTTCTTGGCGTGCCATGCACGGAACTGTGGGTAAACCACTAGAAACGCTAATGCTGATTGATTAATCAATGTCTGACGTCATAGGGTCAAAAGCTGCTCGTAGGACCTCTGACACAACCTTCGAGTACAACTTGTCAGATCTTCATGTAGTGTAGGCCATCGAAAGTATAAAAAAACCAAAACGAAATATAGATCTGTATTTTAATCAGATTGTGTCAAAACATAAGGAAGATATTCTTTCCAAAGTGTAAATCCCCCAGCTCGAAGGAGCATCATAAAGTCAATACGCACAGTATGTACATGCATCATGTTCTCTAGTCTGGTTTTGCTTATTATAACACAGTCCCACTGTGTATGTGTGTGTGTGTGAAATAGATTGATTTAACATTTGCTTAAACCAAAAAGATAACAACAAAATATTTTAATAATAAAGATTATATTATATACTTTTCTTATTATAGTAAGACTTTCTTAGGTCCTAGGGGAGGTGGATGGCCGAATGGTTAGCGCGTGCACGTTGTACCATAAGATCTGTCATTGAGTCAACTGGCGTGGTTTCGATTCACCGGTTGTAAGTGACAAGGAGTAGGATCACTGTCCAACCTTGTGAGTTTTCTCCGGGTCCTCCGGTTTCTTCCCACTGCTAAAGTTGAACCATATGTTAGTCCCGAAATGACCTGGTTTTAAAACCCATTTCTCTCTCCCTCTTAGGCCCTATGTGAACTGTTTAGATTCCAACAGCAATATATCTCAATAAATTACACTCAACAATAGCTTTGTTGCAAGGGGAAAATAAAATTGGCATAAATACTATAAGATTTAGAAGTATTTAACTATTTACTTAATAGACAGGAACATAACATAATGCTATAACAAGACCACAATTATGTGTATATGTAGAGCACCTTGATTTCTGAGAAAAAATTCTTTAAATGTCATATATTGTTGTCACCCCTGCCTGGTTGTGGAGCTTTTAGAGGCTTCAGTTTTGATCCAATTAACTTCAAAGTTCAAACTTATACTCATAATTTATAGTCATGAGATGAAGAATCCTTTAGATTTTCAGCTGTTTATGACAATTACTGCAGAGTTATGGCCCTTAATCACTTGTGGACGCTCTAGAGCAGGGGTGTCAAACATGCGTACATATAAATGTAATATATTGTTGTCACCCCTGTCTGGTTGTAGACGATTAAGAGGCTTCAGTTTTGATCCGATTAATTTCAAAGTTCAAACTTATACTCATAATTTATAGTCATGAGATGAAGAATCCTTTAGATTTTCAGCTGTTTATGACAATTACTGCCCTTAATCACTTGTGGACGCTCTAGAGCAGGGGTGTCAAACATGCGTACTGTGGGCCAGATTCGGCCAACCAAGGGTTTAAATGTGGTCTGTGGAATATGTTTCCACAAAGTGCAATGTCGATAATTCTTAGAAACTAGCGGTGTAAATCATTTATTATGCTTAGCTATGTCAAGGATGTTTGGCTTTGTTTTTAGAATTTAGTAAAGTTCAAGGACGTTTGGTTTTGTTTTAAGAATTTTTGTATATCTCCGACCCACTTGATGTAAAATTTTAGTTCATGTGGCCCTTGAATCAAAATGAGTTTGACACCCCTGCTCCAGAGGCAAAAGTTATCTTACTGACTTTGAATTAAAATTTATTCAGTGTTTATGGTCATGAAGAAGCCTTTTGATTTTCAGCAATTTCCAATAATTACATACAGAGTTATGGCCCTTGATCACTTTGTGGACACTTTAGAGGCAAATTACTTAATAAATTAATTCGTTGTTTCTCTTGATCATTTGTTGTGTCTTTTAATTGCTCCCATAATTTACAAAACAATAAATATGTGACAACCCTTGTGGACTGGACATCTTGACTGCTGTGAGCTGTTGTGGACTGGACCACTTAGCTGCTGTGGGCGTATGTTTCGTTGCCTGGCAAACTATATTTTTATATGGTGAACTTAACATCGCTTTATTCAATTTGGTGAGTGAAAAACTGATATAATAAAACTGCATGGATGCCAAAATCTGAACTTTTCATTCATACATAACATTGGGCGTGATTTTTATTAGGAATTTGGAGGAATAGCTGAATAATAAAGGCAAATACGGTAATACAACAAATTAATGCAAGGCTAAAATTAATGCATAAAATGCGACCCACAGCTAATCACATCATTTTAATCTATACAAATGCATGGGATAGTTAAAAATTTCTTTGTTTAATTAGATGACTGGCTAAACAATGTTAATAGTAATTAATACTGATGTGTAAATATCTGATATAAAACCAGTGAGTGGCCAAGTGGTTAGCGTGTGCGCGCTATCATAAGGTTTGTTATTGAGTCAACTGGCGTAGTTTCGATTCCAAGTGACATCAATTTCATGATAATATTAATTTTATGTTTTACAGTATGATGACCTTAATATGAGTGAAATTCTGGACTCAGCCATCTATTTCAAGTCTGTTAAAACATCACTCTTATTCATGTACATTGTACTTTATTCCAATGACCAAATAGAATTCCAAAACATTGCCTTCCCCTAGCTACAAGATTCTGGTTAGTAGATGAAAATGAAGGCCATGGCTGGTTGTACAATTATGGGTTTTATTTATCTTATTTCACACAATCTACAATTCATCTTCATGTGTATAAATATATATATATACATGTGTATATTCACTTAACTATTTTGATGAAAAGCTGTTAAAGTAGCAACTGACCATATATTTCCCTCCTGTCATTTTTTATTCTATTCACATTCTCATTCTTCTCAGTGTTTTTTTGTCTCTTGCTATATCTATGTCATTTTTTTCTAGAATGGATGAATGTACGAAAAAAGATGGAACTTTCAATTGAGGAAAAGATCCGCCTGATCAATGAAGCTGAGGAAAATCCACATCTTTCTCAAAGAGCACTGAGTCATATGTTCAATATTGCCCAGTCAACAGTCTGCCTGATTTTGAAAAGGAAAAATGAATACAAAGCAGAATTTGCAGTACAGGATGCTTCAAAAATCAGAGTTTCACATGACAGACACTAATTTATAACACCTTGTTCCATTAAAATGGATATTTTTAGTGTAAATATCATAATTTTTGACTAGATTGTATTTCACAATTTATCATGTGATCATTTAAAGTTCCTTGTCTTGAGAAGGGTTTAGAACAAATGGGGCACCTGACTTTGGTTGGAAAATGTCTCTCTTTAATGTGTCTATGAACATTGGTCTTGAAACTAAAATTTTTCTCACATAAGGGACACTGAAATCTTGTAGAAGCCTGGAAAAGAAATGAAACTTGATAAGTAATACTGCATACACTGTATTACATTTTATTACAAAATAAAATTAACATGACTCCTTATATATTCAATTTCTCATGCTGTAAGACCATGTTTGCTGATAAAACAATAACAACAAAGATTTTGAAAGCAGAAATAATTTTAATATCAAAATCACTTTAAATACATGAACCATTGTAGGGTAAGCTACAAATCTTGTTTCAAGACAATACAAAACAAAGGTTGCTAGGCAGTGAAACATATGCCTACTAGCAGCTAAGTAGTTGGACAAACCATAACAATTCCAAAAAGATCAGATCATATTAAAGCCTCTAGTGTTAACAAGATTTTGTGAGAAAGGGAAATACCGCTTGACGTTATCACTGAAAATCATTTAAAATCAATGTGATTCTCCCTTTCAACAGAACACACAACAGATATAAATTTCAGAAAGACAGGTTAATAATTACAGCCTTTAAAGTTGTAACAATTTCAGAAGAAACCTTTCTGCATCGACTGGGCTAATGAAGATGGGAATATGCCATGCTGTGCGCTATGAAGAAAATTTTACACTACAGCTTTTCTTATTTCAAATTCCAACTGTCATGGGTTCTTTTACAGGCATGCCAATATCTAAACAGGACCTCAATTTTTGGTCCCATCGGAACGACTATACATTGTCTCTTGCCAGGCTCTACGTCCTGCACCACTGACAAGGGTGGATCATGCCTGAAAGCCCCAATTTCTCGGCCAACTTCTTACTTGCTGATCCACCATGGCTTCTAATTACGGAAGACAGAAAGCCAATCTGGAGGTTATTATTGAAAATGTTGAAAATCAATAGAACTCTTTGTTACAATGATATAGACAACCCACATATGGATTATTGAAGCCTACAAAATAGACAACCAATATAAATTTCAGAAAGATAGGTTAATAACTGCTGCTATAAAGTTTTAACATACTTTGAAAACCAAGGGACATAACTCAATAAGATACACAACCCAGATCTGTTTTTTTACAATATATGGATTATTGTAGCCTCTATGTGGTTAATACGAAATTTGAATAACATACTGACAGGGGTGATGGCAATATATGACCACATTAAAATTATAAAATTAAAATCACCAAATGATACAGTAAGCATATAGACCTTTGAAGACTGGAGCAGTACTTATCTTTATATTTATTAAAGAATATTTAATGAGGAACAAGCCAATGTGAAACTGATGTCCCACGCCACAATCCCAATATAATTAGATAACACATATTAATTAATTGCACATTTATTTTTTTCAGTAGTATTGTGCAATCTAACTGATTATCTATACTTAGTCTAAGCAGAAAATGTTCACGATCGAAATCAGTCAAGGTTCAAAGTTATCTTGGCCCATAGTTTGAGCATTCTAGCTCAATTAGAAAGAGAGTTATTGTGACGGAGAGACCAACGACAGACCCATTTCATAGTCCCCTGCTTTCTTCAAAAGCCACAGGACAAAAACTAAAAAACTAAATTAAATGATGAGATAAAACATTTTATTGATATCACATATTGTCATTAATAGCTACATGTAGCTCCCGTTGTGTTCGGATAACTGGCTGTTGATAAACTGGGATATCTTTCTTATTAATAAAAGCTAAATACATTCCCTCGTATATTTCAGATAATACTTTGAGAAACATTAACTTTAAATAAACAAGAAATGTTTCTTCACATTCACATATAATATCACTTACAAGAATGATTCAGTCCAAAGCTATTGCACCAATGCCTTTTGGTGCAAACCAAATTAAGTTATTTCCACAATGGTTATGGCTACCTATTATATAAGCCATTTTGTACAATTTACTGATGTAAGGATGTTATATGATCATATAAATATTGTTTACGGGTAAATTTAGCTGTACAAAGATTACATTCAAATTTAATCTGAAGATGTTTTTCTTTAACATGACGATCAAGACACCATTTTCTAGAAAATGAAGTTCCACAAACTTGACAATCAAACTTTCCTGCCAGGGTTTCATTCTAAAACAAAAGAAATGTTATCTTGTATGACAACAGAATATGTGCATGCATATAAAATTACCTTAATTTCATTGATACATTCTACTACACAAGGCTCATAAATTAAAAGATGATTTCATTTCACATTAAACTGAACATGATTTTAAATGCTAGATAAATTTATGAAAAAAAGGGGGTCAACCGCTAAAAAATTGCAAGAAAAGGTTTTCTGAGGGTTTCTGGTACCGTTGGGTGTATTGAATGACATCCTAAAAGTTTACTAAAATTGGACTAATGGAGAGTCCCAAATTTTGAGGTTTTTAAGCCATATTCCTTTAAAAGGTACAACTTCAGACAAACACATGAAACTGAAGCCTTGCATTAGGTTGTCGTCATGGTCAAAATTTTATATGGCATGGTTTTCATAGATGTCCTGTGCTCTCTTGAACCATTTTAGGTTAGGGGGTATCATTACGCCAGAAACATGCTGCCTAGAATCCAAATTTAAAAAGGGGCATAACTCTGCACTGTTTTATCATAAAAATAGAAATTTTTGTCTCTAAATTAATGTTTTTAGGTCATTCTTTCATTTGAAAATATACCCAGTGGTGTTAACTGGTCCTTTAAGCCATTTTTGGGGCTACCCCTACTCCCACAACCTGCGACCAAGAACTTAAATTTACGAATAGGCGCAACACTGCACTGCATCATCATAATATAGAATATAATATGTTATCCGAACTAAGGTTTTTTGGGTCAATATTTAATTTGAAGGTATGTCCAGTGGTGTAAAGTGGTTCCTTATACCATTTTCGGGGAATCCCCTACCCCAACCCATGTTGACGTGAACCCAAACTCTGCACTACTTCATCACTTACTGACATATTTGGTATGTACATGATTTTGGGTCCCTACATCCAATAATCTGATGCCCTGGAAGATGAATGAAGCAAGAAAAGTAAATAGATGTGCAAGAATTTATTTACCAATTTGTTCTTCATAGAATGAAGTGTTATGCCATCTATAGGATGTTTTTCATTAACTGAGCAACATTTGCTAACATATGGAAGAATGACCCTAAAAGCATTAATTTATATGTTCAGTATACATTTATAGGGTCTTAAAAACCAACCGTTTAGGATTTTCTTGTACATTGGTTAGGCAAATGTTGGCCATCTTGGATTTTACCGCTTACCGGTGCTCAAAATTTGGTAAACTTTAGGGACTTTATAAAGGGCTCCTAAATAAATGCAAAAATGTGTAAAAACATTTTCTTGCAATTTGGAAGGGGGGGGGGGTAAAATCATAAATTGAATGGACTATACTCTATACTTTGTTGGGCAATTTTAAGTGACAGAAACGAAACACCTTCTACAGAGAATATGAAGCACACTCCTGGTTGGCGATATGGCAATTCTTTAAATTTGTAATAGCAATGGGTTTTGATCCACTAATTTAAGAATGCTATGTTTCATTTGAAAGGATATAAAGTTACTTGATTACCAAAAAAATGTTGGGTAAATAATCATTTTCATTTATTTAATTAAAATACAAACCAACAGAATATTCTGATAACAGGTTCTCCAGTTTGGGAAATTGTTTCTTAATGGCTTGCTTATTTTTCAAATAGGTTTACATAATAATACTGAACTATTGCCCATCTCTTGCAATCATGATCTATTGCTTCTTATTATAAGGTTACAAAGTGAGAAAATAGCTGTTTTGTAGCAGTCCAATGGAGGAGAAAACAAAAAAATCTTTTAATGTATTTGGCAGTGTGTATACTGTATAACATATAAGCAAACATTACTTCTTTTTTAATATTATAGACAATGCAGACAGTAGTACTATACAGTAAATACTTTTAAAATTTAAGAGTCTAAATGAATATCTCCAGTCTTTTGTCTGAAAATTGTACTTTACATGCAGCTGGGTTGTTCAATTAAATACAATACAGTACGAAAGGTAATAGTTTAAATTGCATTAGTTTTGTATTCTTGTCCCCCATGCACCGTTAAAACATGCCTTCTAAGTGAGGTTCTTTGTGTAAATTTATGTCCACACAATGCACACAAAACGCCCATATTTAAATGTTTTTCATTAAAATGTCTTATACAACTGCCTCTAGTTGATAAAACCGCATCACACTTAGAACAAGCATATCGAACATGACCATTTTCATCATATGTAACACTGCCATAAGATGGCTGTACCTGAAAGTGACAGAAATCAAAGAGTTATCAGCTCTGTCTTGTGTTTTAGATTTTTTTGTTAAGATATCAGATCAGAATGGCAACTAAGAATATGTCTTTTTAATGATGAACGTTGGGTGAACAAACTGCCACAAATATTACACACACATCGTACATTCAAATGTTTTTCATTGTAATGGCGATGTAATTTATGTTTTGTTGATAAAACACTGGTACATGAAGGACACTTGTATTTAACCACACCATCAATAGTCACCATTTGTATTTTATCAGTAATTTTCTGAAAGTGAAACGAACTCTTATTTAGTTTAATAATGTTATCCCTGTGTAATGGTAAGTAATCAAAAAAATGAAATAACTTTCTAAAGATACATTTTGCAAGGTATACCATTGTTTTCATGCATATCATATGATTGTTTTCATGCAACTGAAAGAAAATTGAGGTAGTGTTCAAAACTAGGAGTAGGCTTAGTTTGATTGGTAGAGATTTTAAAACACAATAAATCGTATTCTAATTGAGTGAAAGTGATGAAACTTGGAATGAATCTGAATACCTTGACTAAATGAGCATTTTCTGCTTAGGCTAAGCAATTGGATTTGTTGACTAAATTCAAGAATGAGCATTGTCTGCTTAGTTTAAGCAGAGTGGAGAGAGGGAGGAGTGGGGTTTAACGCCCACTCAGCAAAAGCTAGGTTTTTTAGGGACTAACATTTGGTTCAATTTTATGCCAATAATTTGCTTGTGCATTAGAGTAAACCGGAAAAAATCAACAAGGTCGGACAGGTGACCCTACTCCTTGTGACATTCTGATCTTACTCATAACTGTAAAGGTATATTTAGAAACATTATCAACAACAACAACAACATATTAATGAAATTTTGGTTCATATTTTCATCTATATTTAGGCAAAATATCTCTAAGTCCTTCATAAAATCTATTACAATAGAATATTAAAGAAATTATAAAACAAAATGCTGAAATAAAAAGGATTTCTGTAAAAGAAACAAATGACATTGTTACAAACAAGAAGACCTGAAGAGAGAAAATATTTAATTAAATACTATTTGCATATCCTACATGTACATAATAATGTTGAATGTTAATAAATTTAGATTGTGCTAGGTGACTTCTACTATTTATATTCAAAATAAATGGTAATAGTTTGGTAGCTTTTTAGTGAAATTACACTGAACATTAACAAGATTTCTTACTTTTTGACAAAGGACTTGGCAAAAGATTCCATGATTAATAATACTGAAGTATACATGTATGTACATGTAAAAATATTACCGTAATCAATTTAATATTTTACTTACATTTGATGCATCCTCCCTGCCAGCAGCACTGGTTGATGAGCCATGTACTGAAAATATGATTAAAATAATATTAGGTCTGCAATACACCCACAGTTTACATGTAGGGTATCATAGAGCTCTACCATAGCTAAATATGTAACGGGTTGTCTTACTACATTACATCAAACTAATTTAAAACATTGTCATTCTACTGGAAATGTTCAATCATCCTCAGAAGAGGATCAACCAATCTTGGCACAACATGTAGAATGTGGTCAAAATGAATATTAATTTAGGTTAAGATTTCAGGCTGTAGATTTAGGTGTTGATTACCAGTAGTATTAAAGAAAACAGCTGACATGACTGCATTTTAAAATATTTCAAAGGATGATCTTAGCATCCACAATCAATTGCCAAGTACAGTTCACTACTACAAAAACAGAACACTGTAATTACACATAATTCTTATCATGAATTTATTTACCTTCGAAGTCAAAAATCTGATATCACAATCCACATTTATTTGATAGAAATTAACTTATGACAAAAATATTTAATTTTTCTTCTGATATCGTTTGTTTCCCCACATTTTACCACTCTTTAATGCTAGCAAATATTGTCTTCTGTTTTTCAAATGTTCCCCAAGTTTAAACCACATCAATTTTTTGCGTTCATACAACTCTACATATTGCTGTTGGACAGACATGAAAAACATTTCAGCTTGTGAAGTGGTAAGTTGACTTAGTCGTGGGGGATTTGACCAATCCAGATTAAGACCTTCTGCAGCTTGTCTTACAACTTGTGGTATAAGGGATCTTGTTTTAGCGGACAGTGAATTCGGCCCTGCAATAGCCAAAAGATATCAATATTAACGGCGAATGGGTGCAGTTATTCTAATGATTGAAAAATTTACATTTGGACGAACAGTTATGAAAATTAAGGGGAAAGAATCCGTTTTTACATACATGTAGACCCATATTTCATGCAAACAGAACTGCAGAAGACATCTGGATTGGAATAATTGCCGCACATACATCTACACAAGTAAGCTTACCTTGACATATAAAATTGTGCACTATTCAAATACCAGTACCTAGTTTCAACTAACTACTGGTAGCAGATTTTGTCAAATTAAGCCATATAATATTTTATACCTACCAGTTTGAGGTAGTGGAGGAAACAACATTTTGTCTGTATTTGCTGATAATGGTAAATGCGTAAAATTATTTAAACTACAATGTGGTTCATTTTGACTAACTGCTGTTGTATATAAATTTAATATTTGTTCATTACTACCAGAAAATGTTGATAAACTTTCATCATCTGTCATATATGATGTATCTGAAACAAAAGTAATAAATTTTCAAAGAGAACATTGTCTATTAAATTTCAACAATATTAAGATCATTAATACCAATCCTAAGAAAAAGAAAAATTGTGCCCTTGTCAATCTATTAATTAACACATCACAAGTTCAAAGTGGACAAATCCACCTATGTTTACAATAAAACATAGAAAAAAGTGTACCACATGAACACACCTAAACTTCAGCTAACAATATCAATCTTACAGAACTTTAAACTAATTACCTCCTTGGTCTATTATATGTTGTTGACTTTTAATATATTCACTATCATCATTATCACTGGGTTCATTTTTAATATCAGTTAAATCTATACAGGAATCATCAGCCAAATGTTTATTATCGGATAAATGGGGTGATGAAGTAGAGTATTGTGAGGCATTGTCTTGGTGTACTCTCGCATTATTATTAAAACTAATGTTAAATTGGTCAAATTCTGATTTCACTTTTTTTTCAAATGAGCTTGAACCAAATCTTGTATCACTTTGTATTGGCATTTCTATACGAAGTTTAGCATGTTTAGCAGGAGGCATATCATCATCTGAGAAAGAATCCATATTTTTGGGAGTGCCATGCTTAATTCTTTCTGTTTTTCTTTGTCGTGAATCGCTCCAATTTTTTCTTTGATCAGTTTGTTTATTGACATTTTTAAATTCTCCAATATTTTTGTCGTTTGTTTCACAAAGACTTGGTTTTTTGACTGGTTCTGCATGAAAACTATTACTCACAAATACTGTTGATGATTCATCATTCTTACACACTTTTTCATTGACAAAATAATTATATTTACTGTTACTATCAACATTTAAATACAAATGGCCAATTATCTCCACATTTTCATTGAAGTTGACATCACTATGGCAAAGTAATTGAAGATTTTTCACAATAGAGTTGATAAATTTGCTAGCTACGTCGTTATTCATTTTGTATTCCTGAGTTTTCTGTTATCAATTTTGTTTTAATACTACATTAAAACTGAAAAAAATAAAATAATGCATGTTTAAATATATTTTTTGACGGCCATGATCTAACCAACCATCTATCAATAACCATCAATTGAAATGGGTTTAACATCCTATTTTTCTGCGCCAACCATTCAAATGAAGATTGACGTATGCCATGCAGTGTGCTACAAGGGAAATTTTGCCGAGACAGCTACATTTCTGCTAGCTCTTATCCAGTTTCTACTGTCAAAGGTTAGGTCACAAACATTGTGTAGTTATATAGGGGCTCAGTTTTTCATCCCATCCAAACAATTATACACTGTAACGCTGTTTCTTCAAGGAACGTGGTCTGACAAAAGGAAATCACACTGAAAAATCCTGAGGAACTGAATTTCTCAGCCAACCAAGATTGAACCCAGACTCACTAAGCCACCATGACTCCAATATTCAAACTATTAAACTAATTTAATTTGAAAATTTATCAATGTTCTGCTGTGAAATATTTAGTCTACTCCTTCGCCATATGATGTAGCAATATAGGCCTAAATAACATTCGGTAGTAGCCTACATTTGTAAATGCTCATGTGTTAATTGAAAAAATACTAATAATTGGATCTTAATTTTCTACAATAATAATTAATATTGAATAACCTTCTTCTTATATAGGAACAGTGAATATATTCAATTATCAAATTATTAATACGGTACACAATGTTTCAAAGATTCAAAGTGATGAAAGTAATTAGGATGTTCTTCTTACTATCAAATTAATTATGATGTTAATGTTCAAAATAAAATGTAGTTACAAGCTATTCCAACAAAATTATACAATTACTAATTAGGCTTAGGCTTGATAAGACGTAGGCCAACCTTATTTATAATATTCTAAAGATCGAAATAAGCTTAGATTTATTATGACCGGTAAGCTAATATTAAAAGAAAAAAATAATTCTCTGTAATCTTTTCTAGCGATTTAACAGCAGTGGTTTAGTTACATGAACAAATTTTCTTATTTCGACAATTAAAATGCATGCAAATGTACGATATTTACCACAAAAAAATAAACAAAGGACAACATCAAAATACTCATTAATAATATTCTTTATAAAATTTTTTGACTTGGATTCCTCTCAGGAAATTGGTCGTAATTTCGCTTCATGGTATCGTGAGAAAAGAATAATAATAATATGATATATTTTTTTATCATGCTTGATTATCAGCGTGCCTGGGCTAAATGTTAAATTTTGTTTTATGAATAATAATAATTTGAGTTCTGTTATTCTGTTCTATGTCTGTACTTTACGAAACGATATAACATCTAGCCCTTGGACAAGGATCAAACCATCTGTATCATATCGAGTTGCCTCCCTTGTATTATGACACAACCCAGGCCCCGAGTTCACAAAACATTCTCAGACTTATTAAGTTAATAATATACTCAAAATTGTTCGCCTTATTTTAACTAAAAAAATAGCCCTTTATAAAACTTTTTTTGTTTTAATGTATCAAATACTTCATTAAGAAACTATGTGCAAAGTTTTGTATTTCTGGATCAAAGATAACAGCTAGTGATTGAAAGTTGAGTAAATTCTTGTATGCTTTGTGAACAAGGCACCATGTCATTCTGGGATTCAATTTTATTTCAATATTTCGCTTGCGAATAGGGGTCTTCAGCAGTGGGAGGAATCCGGAAGATCCGGTGAAAACCCACGAATTTGGACAGGTGGCCCTATCCTTGTCACGTTCAAGCGGGAAATCGAAACCACGTCACGCCGCATGCACTTCACTCAATGAGTCAATAACAGACCTGATTAAACCACTAGACCCCCCTCGACCCGCTTTTATTATTTTACCCAAATTATATAACTTCTATCAAGACGTTAGTTTTACATTCAATGTACATGTATTAGCCTGAGAAACTTTTATAATATTAACCTTGCACACATACACATCCCCATCGTCTGATCAATATGATGATATTATTCCATCCCACAAAATGAAATTCCAGAAATCCGTATTTTCGGGCAAAAATGATACAGCCCCCCCCCCCCACCAACCCCCAGGAAAAAAAGGCCTGTATGCCTATGACCAGTCTTCAATACTCAGAGCAGCACACCACTACTGCCAGTCGAATTCAGTTTCACAGGTATAAGTATAATTAAAATGAAGTTTGGCAATCCTGTCCTTGTTTTCACTTCAAAGTATTTATATAATTAGGCTATTAATAAAACTCTGGTTGAAATATCTCGCTGAGGTATATTACTTTTCTAATGCTCATTTCTAATAATTTCATTTAGCATGTACCGGTAGTTCAAAATCCTAGAACAAAAGGAAACTTTGACAGTGTTTAAGATTATATTCATCCACACCATAAAGTAGATAGGCCTACTTCCAATATTGAGGTGCGACTCACACATTGCTTGGAATTTACATTAACTAAGCCAGAGGGTTCTGCGTAGACGAAATATAGGTTGCTGGGCAATGAAACATACGCTCACAGCATCTATTTTTTGGGGTCAGTAATGAAAGCATTTACAAGACACTAAAAATTGATTATGAGTAACAACCATTTAAGTAATAATCAGAAATTGTTAGAAATTGTTTGGCTTCTAGTTCTTCTTATTCAAAGCATGTAATAGGATGAATTTAGTTGTTGAAGTTACCGGAAATGATTGAAAATCAATAGGATTCTTTGACTCATGACTCAGTGTATAAATTAAAGTCAATTAGATGATAACTTTGGTCTCTATTAGAGCATCCACAAGACTTTTCAAGGTGATCAAGGGCCATAACAGTAGTTATCGGAAATCATTGACCAGCGGCTGCCAGGCAGGATACGCCACATTTTCGAGAGATGGATAGAAAACAAGCTAAAACGAAAGTGATTTTTCCTACAATCAAGGGCCATAATTCAGGACATTATGCGCAAATATCTTATGCGCAAATATCGAAAGGAACCGAGATCTTTGGGTTATAAACTTACATTTCAAGTTTCAACAAAATCGGATAAAAATTGTTACCTCTATAGGGTCCACAACATTGATATACCATATTTTTACGCAATTTGAGAATGAGGGGCGGCCATTTTGTCTGTCAGTTTTGGGCTGATTTTCACGAAATTCGAACTCAGCCGTCCTTAAGGTGTAACGGTGATATAATGATATGTTTTTTTAAATCGGATAAAAATTATGACCTCTATAGGGTCCACCACCAAAAAACGCGATTTTTCGAACAATCGGGGGCCATAATTCAGGAAGTTACGGTCCGCTATGCGCGAATATCGACAGGAACCGAGATCTTTGGGTTATAAGCAAACATTTCAAGTTTCAACAAAATTGGATAAAAATTGTGACATCTATAGAGTCCACAACCTTGATATACCATATTTTTATGCTATTTGAGAACGAACGGTGGCAATTTTGTCTGTCAGTTTTCGTCCGATTTTCAAGAAATTCTAACTCAGTCGTCCTTAGGGTGTATCGGTGATATAAAAATACAGTTTTTTAAATCGGATAAAAATTATTACCTCTATAGGGTCCACAAGCTAAAAACGCGATTTTTCGTACAATCAGGGACCATAATTCAGGAAGTTACGTTCCGATATGCACGAATATCGAAAGGAACCGAGATCTTTGGGTTATAAGCAAACATTTCAAGTTTAAACCAAATCGGATAAAAATTGTGACCTCTACAGTGTTCACAAGCTAAAAACGTGATTTTTCGTGCAATCAGGGGCAATAATCCATGAAGTTACGGTCCGATACATGCCAATATCGAAAGGAACCGACGGACGGACAGGGGCGACGACAATAATACTTCGACATGAAAATGTGGGCGTATAAAAATCAATAGGTTTCTTTGTCTCATGACTGATGGGCATAGGGTGACAATATAGACCTACTTTTCAATGTGGACATATAAATACTGTTCACTAAGTCCAACCAATTCAAATCATTTATTTATACAATTACTTTTGCTTCTGTTTATTTAGTATAGTTTTAAAATTAAACGCCCTTAGAAAAGACAAAATTAATTTGCGCATTTTTATTGGTCTTCCACATTACTAATACAATTCTAAATATTTTTTAATTATGCCTGAAGATCACAACAATCTCTATTCAAAACCCCTGTTATCAAATTCAGAAATTTTAGAAGTTAATTTTTAAACCGGAAGGTAATTAATAAATCTTAAACCATTCCATCAAGAACAGTGTCCTGGATAGGTGTGCTCTTTAGAAGTCTGAACAAAACTGGGGTGGTAATTTTATTTGTTGTAGTGCTGTCAACTGCTGACAGAAAATCTTTTTGGAATAAAAACTCAGTAATAAATTCAAATGATTTAATGAAAATAGTATATGTATATAAAAAAATAAAGTACATCAACAAGTACAACGTTACATTTAATTGCAAGGTTTCCTACAAATAAGTTGTTATAGATTATATTTATTATCTATATAACATCTGTAATAAATAACATCAAAAGATTATCAATATTTACTAAATATAGCAATGCTATTTTGTAATTATAACTAATACACTTATTCCACAGTCACATGATGATGATTGCATGCAGTAACAATAACATTTCACAACTCTTCCTAAAATTGTCTATAATATAGTAAATCATGTTTATAGTAACCAATTTACTCCTTGATAACATATAAAGTTTTAACATAGATTTAAAATAATCTTTTAGTGGCATTTAGTAGCTGGATAGAGCAATAAACTGTAACAAACACTTACATGTATGGAAAACAGCTACTATTTATTTTGGGTGACGTTTCGAGGAGTATTCTATCAATGTATTAGCTTGCTAACGTTCAGAGAATACTCTTCGAAACGTCACTCAAAATAAATAGTATCTGTTTTCCATAAGTATGTGTAATAGTTTTTAGATTTAAAAGTTAAATGTGGGAGTACAAGAAGAACTGCTTTGTTTCGTTTATCAACTGTTTTAATGACTGGAAATATATTCTTATGACAATTGCTATTAATTAATAACAAAAGGATTCAACGTTTTGCAATAACTAATTGAGATCTCTAATGATTGATCAATCCTCAAAGCTTTTGTTATAAATTTCTGCACCTGCGCTAAAAACTACATGTATATCTAGAAACAAATGCACATCTGCTATTTATTTCCTTTCTGACCATATCTGAAATTATATCATCCAAGATGGAAAATACTAACACATTCTCAATCATTTCAGCCTATATTGTCTCTGTTAGACTGCAACAAATATTACTATGACAAAACAGTATATTGTAACTAGCTGTCAGGTTGTACAGTACTTGTATAAAGTTCCCGAAACGACTTTCTGTCCAGGCTATATTCGTTGTGGTTGAAGTGGAGACAATATAGTGGCTCAGTGAAAAAGTAGCTGGCTCACAAACCGGGAGCTCCTGGGGTTGTTCCTGGTTATAGCTCATACAGTTTCTTAGAATTTATCAGTGTGTTTTCAGCTTGTCAGTGGTGACAGGCAAGGAACAGCATCAAGTTGTTCAAATCATGCAAAAATGTTGGCATGCACATAAAAGAACTGTTGGCATTAAAAATTTGATGTACAGTCGGCAGAATTGCTGCTCTCCAGACAAAATTCCTCTCATGGCTCACTGCATGCCGCAAGGTTTTCTTCATTCCGACTGCAATAAACAAGATTTTCTAACAGGAAACATTATATGTAAATAAAGAAGTCCAAAAATCACATTCAATATTGTATTGAAAGTGTTCACAAATACTGCACTTAAGAAGAAAAGTTAATATTTCTTTAAAAACCTCTTTAAGATATTCATGATTTTTTCTCATAATGATCAGCAACTTGATAGCTAGGTGTTCATTAATTTGTAATTCCCTGCTCATACTCACCCTTAATACAGCCTACACATTAATGTCAAATGCCTTTGGGTAATGTTAGCAATGTCAAAATTTATTAAGAGATTTGAATTTATATGAATATTGTCACCTTATTATCTGATACCGCTATTATTCTCTGTTGTACAAAAATATTATATTTTGTGCATTGTCTCTCTTTTAGATATTGAAGCACACTCATAGATTAGCAAAAAATCTTTTTTTTTAGTCTGTATATTCACTTATCATTGTATAGTCCCTGAATATAGATTAGACACCATTTCAAAGTTTTCATTTAAATTTTCAAATTTGGCAATATAAATGTCTCTCTTTTTAAGAATGCGATTTATTGCTGGCTGACTGACTCCAAACTGTAGTGCCAGTGCTTTCTGGGACGGCCTTTCACTTGATTCTACTGCCTTAATGATATCAATTTTATCCTTTAATGATAAAGTATGTCGTTCTGGATATCCTGCAATTCAACAAATTTTACATGAGAAAACAGAGTGTTAAATTTTAAACAAAAGAAATGATACATGCAGTACATGTGCACATACAATTTCTTCCTTTTGTACTACAAAAAGTTGTTCATATGTGGCATTGTCTTAATTAATGTCTGTTTCTTTTCATGTTCAGCAAGATAATACTCTTTTCGCTTTAATATATTGGAGATTGCTGGTTGACTAACACCATACTGGGTAGCAAGATGTGTTTGAAAAGGCCTATCACTCGATTCTGCCGCTTTAATTATGTTAATTTTATCTTCCAATGATAATCTTGATGACACAGATGAAACTGAAACAGAAAGAAAGACTGTAAGTATGGTTGATATCTGAGTATTATGAGAAGTGAAATTATTTAATCAAAATTAAAATAAATCTTTTCTCTCTGCTAATGTCTATTACAGTACAGTACCAGATATCAACTAAACTGAAAGTCTTTCTATATGTCAATATACATCAATACTTTTTTTTGATTGAATAAAACAATTTAGCAGAAAGAATGGCTTTGGTATTTAAGAAACCAGGGGACAAAACTTTAGGTACAAAAAATGTTACTTAAATACCACACTCATTCACTAGTACATGAAATTGTCTTATAAAAATCTTACCAATTGTAAATAAAACTAATCAAAGAGAATTTAGAGTATCAATATCAATGTCTATATCTGTGAGAGAAGGAGACAGATTTTGTTGCTGTGACATTCGACTTTGACATTTTCTGTACTCTGCCAGATACGATTCCTTACGTTGAAGTATATAGGATATAGTGGGCTGAGAAACACCATACTTAGCAGCTAATTCAGACTGTTTAGGTTTGTCTGGTGACATGGCTGCAATTATTAAACTAACTTTTTCATTTAATCTTAAATCCGTTCTTTGTCCTCTTGAACGTGGCGAGACTGAAAAGTAGAGTTAAAACTCTTTTAGTCAAATGATAAATCAAATATTTTGATTTCTCTGGTCATAAGTTGTAGTATCAAAATATTGTAGGACAACATTAGTATTTCAATAATTGCAACCATGTCTAGATTAACTTACATGTTAATATTTTTTGGAGATTTTGGAGATCACCCTGAAATAGTCCAATTTGAAAGAATCTCTTAGTTCAAACTTACCTAAATTATGTGCCATAAGAGATTGCATGGATGACGTATCAGCACTTCCATAGGAGTTAGTTAAGGTAGATATTGATGGCAATGCTGTAGTTGCTGAGGTTGTTATTTGTGAACGCTGTTTTAAATGTGACATCATGCCAATTGGGTAAAATTCTGCGGTCTTTTCATTAATATTTAAAGAATCTTCATTTGATGTCATCTGTCCAGTATTATGTAATGGTGAGAATTTAAAATGGCTTTCACCTGATTTTGAAACTGTAAAGACAAAAAGTAAGAAAATTAACAATGTTTCAGTTAAAGAAATATAAGGATATAGTTTTAATACATATGTTTATACACAAAAAATTCCCTTTTTACTTTGTATCCAAACGAATAGTACATATGTTCCACGGTAGAGGATCAAATCCTAAAAATTTGTTTTTTCATCAATGGCAAAAGCAAAACACTATAATAATTGATTGAAGTAATAGAGTAATGTTTATCAGCAATTTCACTCTAATGAAATCATTGTACATCCACTTTACACAGCTTTACATCTTGATTAAAAAATCTAAAACATATTAAAACTATAATTAAATAGTCTGCTTAATATTTCACTGACCAATACGCACAGATCTCCTCTTTAAAGTGCATTTACCTGTTTCTGCTGACCCTAAGGATGGATATGAACAAGCTGATAATGGAGTCTGACCACCTGGTTCATGTTTAACACGACTTAAATCTACATCTTGAACTTGATTACTAAGTGGTGAAGATAGGAGAGGGTTTCTATGTGCACTGTCATGATAAAATGTTACCGGTGGTTCAAAGTCATATGAGTAACTCTGCCGTGAAACTTTTGCTGGAAGAGGTCCTGCTGTTGATATCGAATTATTATGCTCTGGATTAGGTACGGGTACCTGGTGTTTTTTAAATCTATGTTGAAATTTTAAATTAGAACCATAACTCTGTCCTAATTCAACATCTGAGGACATGGTTCTTTTATGTTTTGAAAAATTAGTCCTATTATCAACTTCTGTAGGATCCTGATTTGATGGTTCTGGTTCAGGTTTTTGTTTTTTATCTTCTGCATGAAAACTGTTACTAACAAACATGGTTGATGCTTCGCCATTCTTGCAAACTTTTTCATTCACTATGTAATTAATTTTTTTAGAGCTGTCTATATTCAGATACAGATGTCCAATAACTTCAATATTTTGGCTAAAATCCAAATTGCTGTGGCACAAAACTTGTAAATTTTTAACCAACGAATTAATGAAATTTGCTGCAGTTTTTTCATTCATCTTGATTTTTGTTGTATTCTCAATTTTTTTTTTCGTTACTCAATCAATCTGAAAATATATTAAAACTATAAGATACAAATCAATTAATTGATGTCTTAAGCAATAGCTTAATATACTATCACTTTGGCCATCGCCAGGTATTATAGACGGTTGGCGATGGTGGGAACAAGTCGCACACCTCCAGTCCGAGTCGAATCCCAAGTAGCTGCACCTTCAGTTCGAGTCGAGTCCCAAGTCGCTGAGCCTGGTATCGAGTCGAGTCCTAAGTCGCCAGTTCATCAAATGAGTCAACAATTAGGGAAAGATGGTATATTTGGACGGTTGTACTAAAGACAACTGGAATAACAGACTATTAGATTGTTAGATTTACAGATAACCAACCTTCATCTCATATGACCGAGTTCTTAAATTTGTGCGTTACCCTTTCAATGATGTCTGCCAAGTCGGTTAGAAGACGGAGACGTATTTTTTAACAGTGTGTCGTGTCGCTCATACTGACTCTAGCGAGGTAAGCAAGGTCTTATTTTCTCACTAAGATGTTCATTTTTATTGTTCAGGCGTTCACAGGGACTGACACTCGACCGTTTCGCAGTAAAAAGTTGCCCAGTTAAATTGACTGGGAAGCCAAACTTTTTCGCCAAGGCTTCAATAACACGGTCCCTGGACGTAGAGGTGAGTGTAATGAGACCTACGTTCAGAGCTGGACTACGTCGTAACAATAGCCTAAGGATTATTTTTACGACTCGTAACAATTGCCACTGCCTTTGCAAAATGAAAGAAAAGTAATTGGTTTGGTACACCATAATTTCCTCACCATGAACATCTGTTGATGACATAGGTGTGGGTGTATTAAAGTGCAACCTGCAACGGATTAATCCTGCCTCGGATTTAGCCAACCGTAGTAAAACCATGGACCTGATTAATAATATAATATATAAAATGGTTAGGCCTATTGTAAAACAGTTCAATAAACTGCCATACATTCTGTATTCTTTTCCATTACATTGCATATTCGACTCAAACGATATGTTACGTTTGAGAAGCCAAACTGAATTAATACTCCAGTTCCTGATTATAAAAAGGAATAAAATGGCTATTTTTATCGCCAAACAATACCTTAAAATACACGTTTACCTTTTCCAATAAATATGTAGGGATCAATCCTTTGTTGTCTTCACTTAGAATGTTTGGTAGGGTGAAAATCGATTCTTCATAAAATGCCATAGGTTTATTAACTATATGATTACTGAACGAAATAGACCTTACAATGGTTGACTGAAAATCAAGAATGTAAGTTGCAAATCTCATGCTGTGATTGACAATAAGAAATAACTGGTCCCCTTTCGAGAGAAAAAAAAAAGAAAAAAATAGTTAGCTCCCTTGGATCAGATTTTCTTACTAACACGCTCGACTCAACTTGTTGAACTGGAAGTAGAGAGTGAGGCCACTCGACAGAAACTAGGTCATTTCGGGACTAACTCGTGGTTCAATTTTATTTCAATAATTCGCTTACGCGTAGAGGGTCTTTAGCAGTGGGCATAGGGATAAATCAGATTAATCATTGAATTTGAAGAAACCGGCGGGACATTTACCATGACTGCCATGAGCAGACTAAATCTAAATTGAGCACGAAGGGCGCGATACATACATGAGCGTCGGAGGCGCGAAAATATTTTCATTTCTAGAAGTAGAAGCCCCGGGAGATGCGTTTTCGGCCATTTTGTGACGGTAGTTACACTAAAAATATATGTTGTTGATTATGGGTCATTGACGGGCACATTTGTAGGAACCCGTCCGTAATTTAGCCATGATATTGATATGCACACGTCCTGTTTTTGTAGCCTATGTCTTTTGTTGTTTTCTTGCAAGCAAGTTGGCTACATGTTTTGAAGATCTCATTGAAAACTACACATACAACATTTATATTTCACAGAATGGTCCAAATTCATTGACAAGCAATGATCTATTCACAGTGTTCTTGGATTTGTGATCAGTAGACCCTATTCAAATTAACACTGATTGGAAGGTCGGTGTGCTCCCATTATGTTATGCACTGAACTATATTTAGATCAGAAGTGATGTGCTAAAGTAAGAGTGTTTTTGTAGCAAACACTGTTTTATACATTAATATTAATCACAAGTTTATGTGTTTTGTGTTATTATTTTCAATTGAAAAACACATGATTTAAAAACCAAGCCATTTATAGGCAGGTGAGAGGCATCAGGACGGGACGACAAAAAAGAACACCAAAAGTAAGAGGGAACCGGAGGACCTGGAGAAAACCCACGAGGTTGGACAGGCGACCCTACCCTTGCGCGGAATCAAAACCACACTAGTTGACTCAATAATGACAGACCTTATGATACAGCACGCACTGCTAACCATTCGGCCATCCAATCCCCCCAACTGGAAGTAGCATAGTCTTACTTAGTGAATAACGAGCACCTGCATTGACGTGGAGAGGTTCAGGAATTTCTGGAGTACACATTGGCAGCTTTATATAAATGATTATTTTGGGGAATACTAACCCCAACCCTTTTTAGAACACTGAACTTGAATCAAATTTACCATTTACCCTTCTAAAAATGGTTGGGGTTAGGTAGGTTTACCAGATTAATCATTGAAGAAACAGGGACATTTGTTATTCTGATCAGACAAAAGCAAAAATTAAAATGTGTTTTGTATTGTGTTATAAAGTCTGTAACCTCTACATCGTTAACCAATAAAATTATACCCAAAATCATACTCAATTCCTGTTTTACTAGACTATAGTGTATGTGTTATTATTTTCAATTGAAAAACACCTGATGTAAAATCCGGGACATATAGGCACAGGAGAGGAATCAGGACAGGATGGCAGAAAAGACCCTCAAATCAGGGACTGTCTTGGTAAAACTAGGACGTATGGTAACCCTTGGGTTAGGTTAGTATTCCCCGAAATACTCATTTATATAAAGTGGCCATTGTGGACTCAGGAAATTCCTGAACCTTCCCAACCGTCCTACAATTAGCATCTCCCAAACTGATTACATGTAGCCGGTAGCCGATGTGCATTGCAACGTGGGTAAGGAGAATTTATCACTGTTGTGAAGTGCACACTAGACTTGAAAATGCTGTATGCCCAAATGTTGATTAGTCATGGATTTGAACCACAGCCCTCGCAATTAGATAGGCCTAGTCCCCTGTAAGATTGTTACTTGGAATAAAGTTGAGGCAAACTCAACTCACTCTTTCAGCTGAATAGAGAAAAACTTGTCATCAAAATGGGTTAGTCCTCTGTTGGTCCATTAATGTAGGCTACATGTGTGCAGATAAGTAGGCCTACTAAAACGTGTTTCCTTGAACTCATTCTAAACTTGTAGGCTATATTCTTCAAGGTTCTTGCATGAACGTAAAAGAACCCTTGACAGTTGGAATTGAAAGCAGTTGTTGCACCGCTGTCCTTTCAAACTTTCCCTTATAGCACATTGCATCATGGCCTATGCCCCTCTTCATTTATAGCCCAATTTTTGAAGAAAAGTATGACGTTAAACCTATTTCATTTTACTTCATATTATGTTTTTATATGCCCACATTTTCATGTGGACGTATATTGTCGTTGCGCCTATCCGTCCGTTTACAATTTGTTTGTGGACAGTCAACAGGTCACAATTTTTATCCGATTTTGACAAAGCACTTGAAATATATCCCAAAGATCTTGGTTATTTTCGATATTGGCATGTATCGGACTGTAACTTCATGGATTATTTCCCCCGATTGTACAAGAAATCTTGTTTTTTAACTTGTGGACATTCTAGAGGTCACAATTTTTATCCGATTTTGATGAAACTTAAAATGTATGTTTATAAACCAAAGATCTTGGTTGCTTGCGATATTGGGGTATATCGGAACATAACTTCCTGGATTATGGCCTCTAATTGTAGAAAAAATCATGGTTTTAACTTGTGGACACTCAAACATGTCCTCTAGAAAGGAGACTTTGAAATGGGTTTGTCCGACTGGTTTTCACACGAGCTAGCATAATCAAACTTGAATGTAGATGTATGTTGTTTATCAGGTAAATGCCTTGACTGTGATTGATGGTGAGAATTTCATTTCTATGTGTCATTTATATATTTTGGGATTGAGATGGGAGACATCAACCTCGCTCACTGTTGGATTGGCAAGATTATTGAGCAAGAACCCATAACTCATATCAATCACTTTTTTTCTTAAATTTAATATTATGAATTAGTATACCAACTTCAAGGCAAAATATCTCACCCATTTCTAAAATAAATACATATACTGTATAACAATTTAAGGTCTTTGAATACAGAATTGCATTAATGCATATTTGTGTCTTGATTTATTGACCCACATATTTCATTTGGACAGAAACAGAGTCAGTAATAAGCAATGCTAAACCAGATCATGATCAGCTGACAAAATTTGAAAGTAACTTGCTTTGTTTCTGTCATAACCAGATAATTACTTAGAATGGACAATATTGGTAAACTTTTGTGACAAAGCCACTGGTAGGAGAATGATATTTCCCCATAATTATTATATGCAGATTAATAAAAAAATACATTCAAACTATGGATTTCCATACCCTTAAAAGAAGGTCATTATGAATTGTCCTAGGCTGTTTTGATCAACCAAAGTTTTTGTTCAAAGGATAATCCCCAGTTTTCACCAAGTTTCTGAAAAAATTCTGTTTAAAGTATAACGCAAATATTCATCCATTTGCAAAGGTTAGATAAAACGGTTTACACAAGTTATGTAATATTGTCGAGGGCACACTTCCAGTTCTCACTGAGTGACTTTAATAAGTGTCACTATTTGGTAATTTTTATAAGCTTTACCAAAGGGTAATTCAAATGAAGTAGGCCTATTAACCTGAAACTTGTATATAACTCACTGGAAAACAACAGAAACACAAAAGTTGTCATTCAACCAGATTCAACATACAAATAAGTTATAGACCAGTTTATCCAGGCACAAGGTGATTGTTGGTCAACAGGAGGTTGAAAAATATAACAGAAAGTTTCTAGGGACTAGAATAAAGGGTTCTAAGAGCCTTTTACACAAAGTTATCTAGTTTTATCCACTGACATATATCTGGAATTTCTCCTTTAATTTCTGTTACGCTATTTTTGAAATGCTTTTCTCCACATGTATATTGTGCTGGCTGGTATATTTAGTTTTTCAGCAACCTTTTGAATACCATCTGATTTTGCCATTTCAACTGCTCTCTGTTTTTCCTCTTTAGAATATGTTGAACGCTGTCTTAGTGGACCAAACAATGCAGAAAGCTGTTCATTGACATCTTTTTCCTTTAGGCCTGCATTGATTTCATTATGATGTATTGACATAGCTGTAAATAAATTAAAATTAATTAAAACACAATATTTAAAGGGACAGTTTGTGTTTTGTGACAAATATGAACCAGGTTTTTTTTGGTTTTTTTTGGGGGGGGGGGCAATCACAATAAATATAATTATCCACATAATGTGAGTGTGAAAGAAAATTACATTTTTATCTCAAATAGAAAACATATACTATGGCACTTGTGTTTTTATGAATATTTTTACGTAATGGAGGACTATTTTACAAAGACGTTTGGAACTGCATGTGATCTAAAATATTTCAGATGTGGTCTTTTCACAAACCAGTTTTAAGTGAATGAACTTGAAAAATAAAATATATAAGAATGTATAACCATGTAGATACTCAGTGCCACTCAAAAGTGCCATTTTTGGATTAACCAGTAGGAATATTTTCTGATAAATACAAGATAAATCAAGTTCTTTGCATGCTTTAGTTACAAGCACAATGAAAATAACATTCACTATGGTACTACAATTAATATTAAAAACATATTTTATTCATTTTTTCACAAAAATAGTATGATTAATTACTGGTAGTTCTCTTATTGTATCCTAGCTGGGCATGTGTGTGTAGATGGTTTACTGCTTGTCTATTGTAGAAAACAATCAGAAATAACATCACAAATAAAATAGAAATATGTATTCTACCTCAATTTTAGTTTTAGCAATCCTCTGACTAT